CCATACCGCATAGTCGGCTATAAAAGGCCCCGACATGAAAAATATGAAACAATATGAGAAAACTAACGGCCTGATTTATAAAGAAACAATTTACGAAAAACAAATATGACAGACGTCAACCAACGACAACCACTGAACCACAGGCTCCTGATTGCTTCTGAAATATATTTCATTTGAACCTCATATTCTAAAGCTTTCATTTACAAACTACAAAACAAATCATCATCGAAGGCAATTTGTCAACCTGTGGTGTGTATATTTCTGAAAAGTAACGTTGCTCTATTATTGACCTTTCGCAATACGTCCTTTCTTTTATTAGTCAAATTCTATAAAAGCAAATTCCAACAGAGGGAGGTTTTTATCCGCATCGAACTCAATATAGGTGTCAGATTACCAATACGCTCCCTCCAATTTAAAAAGTAGACCTACTCTGACAAAAAAATAGTGCTTTTGATGTCATCGTTTACTTAAACTCACCAACAAATTTGCAGAAATGAAACTTTTGGTGAAAGGGAAATATATTTAGACCATTTTGAGCAAACATTTACTTGTCTATGAGTTTGCATTAAAAATTGAGGATTAATGCACTCCATAGTATACTAATTTAAGATTTCCAGAAAACCAGGGGTTACTTTCAGTAGTACTTGGCTTCCGAAAGGCGGTTCTTTCTTAGAAGACTTCAAACAAGGATTGAAAATTGGAATGTAGAAAGGTGATACATGTACAATTCAGGATATAACTGGTTTCTATGAAGTTAAACTTCAGGTAAAATATTAAGAAAGCTGTGAAAATTGCAAAATTTGGTTGAATAGATAGGGATTTTGAATTAATGGTCTGACACCTTTAAAGCAAACAATCACAATATTTACGGTGCAGTATGATAGAAGAAATATAGAAATAGACTGATCAATTTGAATGACAGGATGGATGGTTACTTAACGTCTAGAGGCATATTAAATGTATATTCAGGACGAGAACATGCTAATGTGCTATAGGTATAAACCCTGCTTTGTGTTAGACCGATACGCTGAACTGGATTTTTAACGTGCTTGTTCAAAATCCACAGGATGACATGTCACCCTACCCGGACACATCATTCTGACTCTTAGGCGACCAGTCTTTAATCTTACTACAAAGTCAGTGGGGAAGCAGCAAAAACCAATTTTCAAGTCTTACGTTTGATTCGGCCGGCGTTCGATAAAAGACCTACCACACTCGTGGCGAACACGCTATCACGAGAATGAAAGGATATTGTGATATACGTCAATGAGACAGCAACCCGACGCTACAAACACCAATAATATAAAGTTGTCAACAGGCGTTTTCCATTTGCGCCAATCAGCATTCAAATTTGATTAAAAAAAATAATAATACATTTTGTAATTCATTTGCACCAATTTATTTTAAAATTTAATTTGCGCCAAAAAAAAAAATTCATTTGCGCCAATTACCATTTTTTTTTTAAATTTGCGCCGAAAGAATGTTTTCATTTGCGCCAAAGTAAACACAAGTCATACCCTGTCCTGATGAAAGGAATTTGGAATTGGGATTTTGACCATGATCAGTTTTTAAAACATCACACGTTAAAAAAACACTTTTTGTTTCGACAAAATAAGAGCACACATTGACTTATTATTTAGAAAGGCGCTTCGGACGCATTCAATTTATAATGTTATTTTTATTTACGTATTTACCAATCCGTTCGGACAGAGTACTTTCTCATCGGCGAAATGTTCATATTTGTATGATACACTTCACAGTAACCGTGTAATATGGTTGTGTAATATCCCCTATACCATGCACACGGAGGCTAGCATATCAAGAGATCTGATTTTGATGTATGATGTTGTTTCAATTCTATTTATAACACCCATTAAAATATAAATGTGAAGATGGTGCGAATCAAACTGTTCAGTGTAGGTCAAGTGATACGATGCTGGGGCCGGTAACAAGAAGCTCTCTTAGCACTAATTATCATCTAAAGACTGTCTTAGTGTGTGACAAGAAACAATCTTATACCAATCTTAGAATGATTGAGAGCCCTTAACACGTTCTAATTTCTTACGGGTTTAAGGGAATTATTTGCACCCCTTATCATAAACTTACATATTCGATTAACTCGAAAACATCTTGATATGTTTGTCCCTTATAAAGAGTTCTTTGCATTAACTTAAGCATTTGTGAGCGTAACACGATTCTTACTTAACGCGTTTTAATGTAAATGTGGTTCTACCCACCCCTAAACTTCTCTTTGAATGAAAATAGCCCTTTTTTTTTTACAAATGATGAACGACAGGCGAAGAAACTAAGATCGCTCTAGAAAACGTTTATTCCGTGACCGCCTAAATCCTCATGATTTTATGACAGATGAACAAATTATCAAGAACTGTCGGTTAGATATGATTTATGTGAAGAAATGCAAAAAAAATAAAATCAACGCATAGATCTAATTCACTGTCCGTGTCACTTCAATTCATGATAGCCCTACGCTACTACGCAAGTGGAAGTTATATGAACGTTATTGGAGATGTCGATGGTGTCAGTAAAATGGGAGTTTCGAATTGTGTCAATGCTGCGTCAAAGAATATCCACGCAGAGAATATTCCGAGGTACATTACATTTCCAGTATCTTTTCAGAACAAACAAGATATCATGTATTACGTTTATGATATAAAAGAGTTTCCATTCGTTCTGTTGACAGAACTTTGATTTGGATGAAGGCACCATCTGTGGAGGGACATGCATTTATATGTATATTTATATATCCATATGCTTCTCCTATCCAAATAAAGACGTTATAAAACTACGCGTATGTTACACATGCTGAGCCCTTTTCAATCTAAGTAGTACTGCAAATATTCATTGATGACAACAAACCATTGACTGAAACTTTTTTATTATATATGGATAGTCGACCTCTCGCACGATCGATCGGTAGAAACAGAGACATATAATACAACTGTATTATATGTCTCTGGTAGAAACAAGTGCCTGTTGTTATTTAATTGGTAATCATACCGGGCCACATCTTCTTATTTTTTATATAGTAATGATTGTTCTGATATCAAAACTTTAATGTTAGCAACCTCTTGCATGTATCAAACATGAAAATTGAATAAATATCAAAAAGAAATAAATCTAGCAAAATGAATGTAACAAGCAGATTGATTGAAATCAAATTTCCCACGATATAAACTTTATCAGGATCAATATATAATAGCCGACTATGTAAGCAAAAAATCCTGTTACTTCAAAACGCACGAGACATTTTTATTTGACAATATCTAAATCAAAGAAAAACAAAAACGTTGACGGACAGGACGGAAAGTAAGTCATTGTGCTAATAATAAGACCGCCTTAAGGTTCTTCTTAACGATGTAAAGAGAAAGAAAAGGGCGAGGAAAAAATGGTTCTGGTTACACTCTTAAAGTTTCTTATTGCCCTCTTTGTGCTATCGTAAACTTTGACTTACGAGAATTTTAAAAGAAGTTTCTTGTTACTGGCGTGGCCTATGGTGTTACAGAATTCAACAGGCGCCGCTGGTGTTCTTGTTGTTTATTTTTTGCACAAATGAAAATTTAAATTCTTTTTGTCAAAATTGCCGCAGTAAAAAAATAATCAGTAAACTTGTTTGTTCCCTCCCACGTTAGTAGTTATAGCAAATAACGCAAGAAGCAAACTAAACTTCATTTTACTATGGACACATTCAAATTTATATATTTTATGTCGTGTTGGGCAATCTATGGTTTTATGTGTTACATGTATGTTATATGTCTGATGGTTTTTTTTATTAGCTCGCTAGACATCATCATCCTTTCTCCGTTTAATCGCTTTTCAGTCTAGACGAGTTATGAATGAATTCAGAAGTGTTTATAAGTGACAATGTGAATTTAATTTTTTTGTTTAAAGTGAATTGTCAATTATCTAGACAATCGACAGAACACGTGGGGCACTGAAAAGATTATGAAAATAGATCCAGCGAAGCAAGTTCTTCAAATATTCAGCGATAATATCAAAACACATCTACATGTACATAAAAGAATAATATGGCAGAAATTAAAAAAGAAAAGAAAAAAGAAATGGGATAAATGTCAATGAGACAGAGTCAAACGACAAAATAAAAACCAACCAAAAACCTTTCGAGCAACGCACAATTTTCAACAATAAACTGTTATCTATTCAATAAGTCAAGCTTTAAAACCTTTTTATGTAAAGTCTACGTTAGTATGATATCTTTATATTCAAGTTCTCACTAAAATATCAAGGTGGTTAAATCAAGTGCAATAATATAGTGATATAAATTAAAAGCTTCTTAAAGCATATTAATGACAGTTGAAAAATAAAAAAATAAATCAGTTTCTTTTTGGGAAAATAACTACGTAGAGGTGTATATGCATTGTATGGAACTATTTAGCCAACTACTAGTATATAAAGACATCCACTGAAATCTGGGAGATTTATAATTATATAAGCAATTCACTTAATATAAACAATATTTAAGTGAAACTGAAAATAATTACTGTAATTTTACACACTCTTTTAAAGCAAATTTATTACCAAAAAAAGATTGTTAAAAGCGAAGCCGTATAAAAGTTTGATATTGTGCTGATCTATCATCTTGATAGACAAGTTAAAATGAAATTTTTTGGGGGGATTTTTTTGGGTTTTTTTTATTTGCGATTGCATTACGTTCCTCTTCGAGTAATTGATGCCTTGATCGAGTGGTCAATGTAATTTCATTCATATCATTGAATCCAATTGAAAAACAAATCATATAAATCTTTGTTTGCTACCAATCCTGTTGGGATTATTGATAGTATTGCCATCAATTTATAGGGTTTGGTTGTAATACAAAAAGTCTCATTGACCATAGTAAATCCTATTTCTATTTTTGGACAAGTTGTTTATATTGTTGAATGTGGTCACGCCCTATAAAACATTTAAAGCTGGACAGTAGTAAATAAACAATAAATCAATGAATATGTCTAGTAACCACTTACCATTATTGGGTTCTTCCTTCCGTCGTACTCCAGAACTGTGATATCTGGAACTTCCACTTGTGTACATTCGACCGTGGGTCAAGTAGCTCATGCATAACAAATAAGCAACAGTTAATTCAAACAAAAAATAAACTTGTATCATGTCCATGTTGAATGGAGAAGAATATTTTGATTTTTTTGTATTAGCTCAATAAGTAAATCCGACATGAAACTTCTACGACATGACACATTGTGTAAGGATAGAGTTAACAGAGTGTGACAGTTTTCAGATTTATGGGACAGTTTTGTAGCGATGATTGACCAGTTTTACACATTAATTATTCACGTACGACAAGAAACTCCATTAGTATAAATTGGTATTATTCCAATCCTTGCTCAAATAAGTATCTGCAAGTTCATCTGCAGGCTACAAGCATCTGTTCTCAATGTACGCACAAAGTAAAGTAGTTCAACAAATCATCCGCTGTTCATTTATAAAGTCTTTTCGTCCTTTGTTTTCTGGACAAGTACATAAACTTAGTACGACCCTTGGTTAGCTTAAATTACTATTCATAACATTGGACACTAAGTGTACTTTGCGTTGTTTCTGTCTAACGTAATCCAACAAGGAAATACTACTTTGCCCTGCTTCTTCCGTGAAATATCAAAGGTTAAATAAACTTAACATTGCTAACGACGTAATTGAATACAATGAACTAAAATGACGTTGGGTTTAAGGAAGTTTCCAAAAGATAAATATCCTGTAAATATGAAAATTATGTATAAAAACAGACACGAGATATATGTGTTAAAATTACAAATTAATATATAATAACTTTTTAGGCTATATGATTTAGATGAATGGTGATAACATGTTAATATGCCAGCGACAAGTGTGCAGCGTATCAATCTAATATTGCCCTAGGTCATCGTATAATATCAATCTAATATTGCCCTAGGTCGTCGAATAATAGTAACCTTTGTTTGGCTTAATGATGTATTACTACAAAAACAATAAGCAATACACATATTGTATTATTTATATGTTATTGATGGGTAGGTATAAAAAAAAGATGTAAAACAAAACCTTAAATATTTGTATCTTTAATATCATATTCTGTAAATGAATGAAAACATTGAACATTGTCATTACATATAACTTGATATTTGAATTATAACAGATGACATGTATTATTTATTATATTTTGGTATTATATAGGCTGTGATATTTCGAAACATTGTAAAAATAAGAAGATGTGGTATAATTGCGAATGGGACAACTCTCCACCAGAGACCAAATGACCAACTATAGGTCACATGACGGCCTACACAATGAGCAAAACCCATACCGCATAGTCCGCTATAAAAGGCCCGAAATGACAAATGTAAAATAATTCAAACGGGAAAATTAACGGCCTGATTATGTACAAAACAATGAACGAAAAACAAATAATGATATACAGCAAAAAACCGACAACCAAGTCAGGAATATTACAGTTGTTTTCCATTCGTTTGATGTGTTTAAGCTTTAAATTTGGTTTTGACATTTGATAAGGGATTTCCATTTTGAATTTTTTTTGGAGTTCGGTATTTTCCCTATTTTACTTTTTACATGTATTTGAACATTAACATGGCAACACAGCTGAGCAATATGGAGTAATAGTGTACAGAAAAGATACTGTACATTATATTGATGATTTGCATAGTCAATTTACAACACTGAGGAGTCTAATTCAAAAAAGGTGAAAAATGTAAAATTTAGATAAAGTCAGGTTAAAGATTCATGAAGAACTTGTCAGTGTGTATGTGCCAGCCTCCATATGACAAAAGAACGCTGTTCGTATGATACAACTCACGGGAAAAGACGATTTGACAAATCGGCCGCAACTTTCTTGAACAGCCTTCCCGCTGTGACCTGTTCAACAAAAAGACGCTTAGAACTTTTCACAAGAATGTGAAAACTTATCTTTTTAGTCTTACTAATTACAAAATGTATTATCTTAATTTTTATTTAATTCTTAATTTTCCCCAAAAAAGGAAGCTTTTAACATTGGTTCATCTAAGCATGTATATTTATCAGTTTAAATGTTGTTTCACCTATGTAATTCTGTGTAGCTTTAATTTTTTGTCTGTTTTTGTACCATATTTTATTGTGGAAGCGTATTGTAGAAAGTTGAAAAATTTTAATTTCAAATCGAAATGAAAGCATGAACGGCACTCACTTTATCTGAAACGGTAAAAAAAGTATTAATTTCATTATTTTTGTATTCTTTATTGCAGCATGTAATAAGTTTGTTAAAAGTTATCAAGTTAAACGGACAGAAAGATTATTAGTTGTGATACATTAAATAGAAGCAGGGATGACACAATATTTGATATTAATTATTAGGCAGTGGCTATTTTGCCGGAGCCTGCAAAATAGAAAATGTGTTATTTAGCCGACTCTATTGAAATTTTGATATCTACATTAAATTTGGCAATGCTTGCTCTATGTAAGAAAACGGTACAAAGCTACATCATGAAAAAACAGGCAAAAAGGTTGTGCTGAAAGATTTGCACAATATAAAAACAGAGTTTTAAAAGAAGAAAAATGAAGATGTTAAAACAGATCTGAAACATGTTCATGACATATTTTCAGCAAGTAGAGAGTCAATCGTTGAGTATGTTACTGAAGAAAATAGATTGCAGGCTGTATTCTTCCAGGACAGAAATACGAGAAATGCGTTTAATATTTACACAGAAGTTATACAGGTAGACTTTACATAAAAAAAAACAATTTGAGAATGCCAGTATATTTCATTGTCAATATTCATGGTAACGGATAAAGTGAAATACTTGCCAAGTTTCTTTTTACTCAGGAAGATGAAAATACACTTTCATCTGTGATAGAGTTGTTCAAATTCAGAAACGAAAAATTGGGAAAATGTAAGGATTATATTAACCGATATAAAGACACGTGTGAGAGAAATGTATAGAAAAGGCTATGCCTCAAGCCGATAGGTTGCAACTGTGTCTGTTTCACGACTTGTGAAACTTCAAATGAGAAATATATATTGAAAAACTTAGGATACCTATTGGTGAGAAAACTTTTGAAGTGCTTCAGAAGATAGCTTACTGCAAAACAGAAGATGAATATCAAATTTGTATAACAGGTTGTGTACAGAATCCCCAAATTAATTTATTTCTACTTCAATAAAAAAAAAAACTGGCACAACATTAGACATGAATGGGTAGATGGACCCCGATTGAACACACCGAAGTCAAAGAACTTGTTTTGTTAAAAATTTCAGTAAATTTTAACTAACTATTCAAAATTTGAAGGTACTTTTGTGGTACATTACATTTTGAATTGTGATACATTTTGGTTAAGTTTTACTGCCAATTTCCATCTTTGAGTGGTGTAAAAGTAGCAACTAGGCTTTTTATATTTTTTCAAGACTAGTTAAAGTGACTTTTACAAAATTAAGTAAAACACACATGTTAAAGTTTATAAATTGCAGTTACATTCCAGTTTTAATTACAATTCATTCTTACAAGATAATTCACCAGTTTTAACGTGAATTCTTTTTACAGTTTCAATATGTTTTTTGCTTGACAATTTTTTTTAAATGTTGTGTGTATTTTATGTATTGTGTATGTTTTATTTTATTGTATTAAACTGAAATACTAATATTTCAATTCTTTTATGTTGATAATGCACACCATTTAACAGTATCCAAAAGGCAAATTTAGGATTCATCATTTTTTTTTATAGAGTAGGCAAAATAGTAATTTAACTATTTTGCCGGTGCCGAAATAATAGCATATTTTCTATCTTGCCGGCGTTAGCAAAATAGCCACTTCCTAATTATTAACGATGTTTAGCTACTGACTCCTTTGCCAGTGGCGTAGCTAAGCCGTTTTTAAGTGTACGCCCGAACCTCGGCGAGGGGTTTGATGGTCCCTAGTGGGTACAGGGCAAGGAACCTTCCAGCAGATGTCCGACGGAAGCTAACGATTTATTGAGTGAGAGATACCATTTCTGTCATTAAAACTCATCAATAGCAACATACTTTAGAGTCAAATTTCTAGATTTTTTCATGTTTAATTTATTCATTGTGTTGATTTGGAATCTAATGGCCAGTAGTTGTTACTATGAAATATGTTTAAAAGGAGATGTGGGGTAAAACACAATCGGTAAAACAATCAATCGACCAAAGATCCAAACCTTTCGAAATATAAAAAAAGCAAGTCTACATTTTCAATGGTGTCGTTCTTTTGATTATTATGACTTAATCTAGTTTTCTCCCCTTTTAAGCGCATATGGACAAGTACATGCAATAATAAATTTCCAAATATGGTCAGGTGTGATATGAACATACTCAAAGGGTTCCGTGGAATCCTGTGTCTCGCCTGGGATTGCTACTGTCGGTTAAACTGTAAAAAGGTGAATCCATTTATCAGTCAGATACAGGATTTAAAAGAAATTAAACTTTTCTTTAAATGTTTTTTCTTGATCTTGGAAGAGAAGCTTCGGTCCAAGTTTCATAACAATCTATGAAAGTTTACAAATGTAGCAGGTGAAAAATATTTAATCCAAGACTGTCTGTTAATTGCCCCAAAACATTGGTAAAATAATGAAAAATGAAAAAAAAAAATATAATGTTAAGACTGAAATTTGCTGACTGTTATAAAAGTCTTGAAATCATTTAAAATAAAGGAATATTTATATATCTCTCCCATGCAAAGCTCTGGTTCTTTGTCCGGAATTGGCTATACTTTATGTACGTTTTATTTTGTTCAGCTCTTCCAATGATTTATTAGGTTTTGGGTTTTCAAATATTTCGGCCTCGAGCATCACTGATGAAACATTAATTGTCGAAATGCGCATCTGGTGCAAAAAAAAAATGGTACAGTTGGTGTTACCATTTTTACATAAAATTCGATGAAGTTTTGACAAAGTAATTGATGCGTAACAAACGGTATCTACTTGTTAACTAATAAAAACAATGTTCTTTTCAGTAAAATGCCGAAAAATAATATTAAAAGTAAATTTTCCTAATTATGCTCTGGATAGTTCTGGATACTCTTTTGATCATAAAAAAGTTTCTGCCTATATTCTGTAAAATTTCATAAAGGTTTGACAAATTTATTGATGTTTTAAAAAAAATTTAACCACAGGCTGAACATAAATATTGACGACGCCAACGCCGATTACGGAATCTAGGATCGCTATGTCTCGCAGGCTCGGCAAAACTGTTTATCGTATCTCAGCAGATAATGAATTGCTTTAAACTATAGGAAAGGTAGGATAATTCACAGTAGATTCAGATTTTGACAGAAAACGAACAAATAAATAATATGATACCATTTGATTAAAAAGTAAATTTCTTCCGACTGTTATCTTCAATTACAAGTCAGTGGAGAAAGAAAACTACAAGGCTCATGTGCTTTTAGCCAGATCTTTTAATTTATTTAAATTAAAATATTTTTTCTCCAAATTTCATGTGTTCGCCCTGGCGTTTTGACGTAAACGTAGCTACGCGCCTGTTTGCTTTAGATACGAGACTGGTTAGTTATTAGAAAGTCTTTATCATTTTCGAGCTAATACATGTTATCTGCAATAGGTCATCGTAACGCGTCCTAATTTTACAGCAACCTACCAAACTGTTAATATTATTATAATTCAACTTATCATTACTAACAACCTTAAGATTCATGACACTTTTAACGCAGGTATTCTTATTGGATCTCCAAATGTTTTATTGTATCTGGTAACGCATTGCCTTTCTTGATCAAAATAATTCGTTGCCTTATCAAAATCGAAATCAAATATTTTATAGGAGAAAAGCACATAATAATTATGACATGGCGTAATCCTGTGTACAACATAAAGGACATATACAACATAACAAATAATGTAAATAAAACATAATGCTAAATAAATGAAAATTAATGATATGCTACAACCACAAGTCTATTATTTTGTATAGTACTTCCATAACTTAGGTAGCCCAACTGACACTAAGTGTTTTATGAACTTCAAAAGCTTGACTCAAGCAATAACATATTTGTTTGGCATTATCCAAATTGTTTGGATTAAGTAAATATATTACTAGTTTGATATCATCATCTTTAATCAAATTCTTAAAATCACTAAACTTCTCTAGGAGGTTTTGTTATATAGGAGACAATATAAAAGTAAGTGCACTTCATCTTCTACTTTGTCTCAGCAAAATTTACATAATCGTTCAGTTGCTAAAGTTTTTGGTTTTCTGTACCTTCCCGTTTCAAAATCAAGTGAATGTGCACTAGTTCTACTTTTTGTGAGAAGTGATCTCAGATATTTTGGTATATCAAAACTCAGGTATGCTTTTAAGTCAAGTGTTGAGCAAATTTTGCTATTAAATCTAAATTTACCTGTGTTTCTTAGTGAATCCTCAAACGCAGTATATGATACTTGAAGTGAATTCAAATTAAGTAACTTTTTTAGTTTATGTAATGATTGCAGCCAGCAAGAGCACTTCTGCGAATACAAATCTTTATCTTCTATGAATGAAGATCTAAATAAATCAATTTTTTTTTGTCATTATCAACTTCAATGTCAGTTAATCTAGCATGATACTTAAACATTAATTTATATGATATAAAATATGATGGACAATAGACAATGCCTAGGTAATCATATTCTGTAGCAGATTCTAATGACCAAAAATAAAAACTATTTCTGTCTTTTAGAGGTCTATTTTTACTATTGGAGAAAATCATAATTTTAGTTTTCTTGGTGGTCACGCTAAGAACCCAATCACTATCAAAGGACTGTAAGGCATCCACACTGTGGTGTAAGCCTATAGGTGTATCTGAGATTAAGACCAAACCATCTACATAAAGAAGATGATTAAAATTTATTTGATTCAGATTAACTGGATCAGTTAAAGCGGGGCTAAAATAGGAATCTAGGCAATCAACAAAAATATCAAAAGGTTAGAACTAAGGCTATCCCACTGTTTGATCCTTAAATTAGCATGGAATGAACATTAATGAAACCATATGTTTTACAACAATATGATATATTACTATGGATATGTTTTATTAAGTCATAAAATTAACCGCCTGTTCCCTTTTTGAGCAATGTATGCAGTAATGCCTTCCTTACAACACTGTCGGATGCCTTGTTGAAGTCCACAAAGCAAATGTAAAGATTTTTCCAACATTTGTTGAAATATTTATTAATTAAAGTTTAAAGAACGAATATGTGGTCACTTGTTCTATATCCTTTCCTAAAACCACCCTGATTGACACTGAGTAAATCTTTTGACTCTATCTGTTTTGCAGTGTAGAAGTAACTAATTTACCTTAGCAACTTGAAACACATATACCTCTATATAGTTATTACAATCGTTAGGATCACCTGATTTAAAGATCGAAGAAATTGATGGACAATTTCATATTTTTGAAAATTTCCCACTTTGTAGTATTTTATTAGATAGTTTTACTATAACAAGAACCATAGAAGAGGCACAATATTTAAAAAAAAATCCTTCAGTGTCAAATCAGGACCACCAGACTTGCCAGATCTCAGTTAAGTGATACTTTTTTAACTTCATTACAAAGAAATCCAGAGAACAATGGTTGTTTTTCGTGTTTTCAAGTTCACTTGTAAAGTTAGGTTTTAAATCTGAGTTCAACAAAGATGTGTAGTGTTCCACCTATTCAGGACTTCTTTAATATAGGACTGGGTGCCTTTTGATTGTTATTTTTAAGACTGTTTATTGATTTCCAAAAGGACTTTAAGTCTTTGTAGTTTAGACTAATAAAAGTCATATAAAACTCTGCTTATTGCTTCTTTTTTATTATAATAATGTTTTACACATTTATACATTAATTATTGTTGTCTTTTTGTAATCATTTTTACCAAGAGACCTAACTTCTTTCCTCAGTAAAACAATCGTTAAAGTTCCTAATGTAAATAGTGTATATAATGTTGTGGTGTTCTGATGTTCATTTTCATTATTTTTTGGTGGTGGAACTGTTCGACATACCAAAGTATGGTTACCCTATAAAGGGTGTAAAGATCCAGAGAAGAAGAAGTTAACCTATGAGAAAGACATAAAAAGAGCTCAAAAACATCCAGATGGGGTACAACCAATACATAAACTCAGTGGGGATAACACTATCAAACATATAAACAAATTATTCAACAATTACTATCCACACAGATCTGCATCCACACTTGTTAGAATAAGATGAATATTTTGCGGAAATTATTCTTTTCTGTCCGCTATTGACTCCCAAGCGTATAATTGATTGAGATGTACTTTGGTCTTTCAAATGTTTTGTTCGTCAAAAGTTGCACAATTTTGTGCAAAAACTAAAAAATTGCAAAGTTGAACATGTGTGTCTGTGAATAGATACAGAGGAGGTAATTTTAACATTTTCTTTTACACATTTGAGGCAGGTATGTTTTGTGAAAGAGTACGAGGTCCATATAGGTACTTATTAATTAAAAACGTGTATACAATGTAGATAATTTTATCTGTTTATTTCAAGATTTATAATTTTAAATCTGATTAAAAAGGCCAGCATTGGCATCAACTATTTACATTCTTTACATGAACATCGTAAGATGATCCATCTACTCATTGATGATGACTACACACTCAAACCAAAACTTAGAAAACATGTACATAAAAGTTATTATTTTTAATCACCATCTGTATATATACAAGGCAGTGTCTGCGCAACCCCTCATGCTTGGACGAGTACTACTGTCAAATTAGCCTTCGTAGGCTAAGTGTACCCTCATCTGACTTTATATTAAAATGTCATAGGATCGGGAATGAAATGTGAAATATACATTGTACATGGAAATTAACGGTAATTTGTGGATTTTGTGAAATCAGTGAAGAGAATGACAACTGCTATTTTTAATTTGTTTTTATTAGTTTAAAATACATAATACACATTGCAAATTAGATGCACACTAAAGGAATAAAACTGTACAGTCCCTGTAAAAGAAAACAAGATAAAAATTAGAAATTTATATGACATGTAAATGCACATATACTGAATTTGAAAAAAAGTCATGTGAAAACTCGAGTGTGAAAATAATTTTTCGAGTAAAATGCAAAACAGAAATCAAAATTTTAAAATATCTGAAACAACTAAAAATAAAGCTTGAGTGTATACATAACATGCATGCATAAATTAGAGAGATCAAATTCCATATGTGTGAAAATACATATAGATGCAGATGATGATAATACATGTTAAACCAATTTCAAAAGATTCATGTAACTAATTAAGATTTGGAACAAATTTTAAATATACAATAGGATTGTTTTGGCACATATTTCAACCCTGCACATTTCAAATGCTGCCAGTCTAAACAGCAATAATTACACACCAAAGAGGTTATTTTTACATGTAAATTTGATCCATATCAATTCACACAATTCTTTTCATTCATTAATCAGAATTTGAAGTTGTTCCCACACCATACCATTGCTAACTTTACTTACTACCCTGTTCACCATACCATACATGTATTGATTGTCCCCAGCACAATGCGTTGCGGGGGATATAGAAATACTGGGGGTCTGTCCGTCCCGTCTTGTTAGCGCTCTCACTCGTACAATTCTTGCCAGATTTTTATGAAACTTATATCATAGGTTTATATCAGCAATGTTTTGGACAAGTTCGAAAATCAGTGCCGATCATTTATTTTTAAAAGAATTATGCCCCTTGGAAACATTAATTATATAGAAAATTGCAACGTTAGCGCTCTCATTTGTACAAGTCTTGCCAGACTTTTATGAAACTTATATCATACATTTTTGTAGGTTTATATCAGCAATGTCTTTGACGAGTTTGAAAATCAGTGCCGATCAATTATTTTTAAAGGAGTAAGGCCCCTTGGAAATATTGATTATGTAGAAAATTACATGTGTTGGTTTAATAGTCATCACCAATGACTAGATAGATCATCTTACGATGTACATATAAAGTTTTTAAATAATTGATGCTCTTCTGGTCTAATTTCTAGGGGTAGTATTGGATTTTGGACACCTATGTTGTCTTGTTTTCTGAATTTAACGGATTTGGAGAAAGGCTTTGGGTTGTGAACTGGTCTGAAAAATATCCTTATTAATCCATAAAAATTTTTTTTTATCCTGCAATTTAATTTTCATGCTCAATGTATCTAGCATCATATCTTATAGAAACAGTCATTACTTGCAAATAAGTTGTGAAGAGGGCTGAAAAATGAGCTGTGAGGGAGACTGGTTGATACTGTACATGTTAGCTCGTTCATAATACTGTACATGTTAGCTCATTCATAAAACTGTACATGTTAGCTCATTCATAATACTGTACATGTTAGCTCATTCATAATACTGTACATGTTAGCTCATTCATAAAACTGTACATGTTTACATGTAGTTCTGAGCAGGTTACCTTGATGTTAATTGTTATAATTGAAGAATTTCTTTAGCAGGTACACAGTCTTTAAATAAATAATATAAGAATAATTGTGTACTCTATTTTACCAGATAACTGATGCACATTGTATTAACAGTTAAAGATACATCATCCAATAAGCAGCCTGATATTTTAGATGTCTACTGATAACTCTGCACCTGGACAGGTACATGTGTTGGTTTTAGTAATTACCTTATATATGAATATGAATAAACATCAATTAGATACTGTGGATTCATTTATTTTCGTGGGTATCAATTTTCGTGGATAGAGAAAAAAAGACGTTTCGTGGTATACGTAAATTCGTGGATCGCTGATTACAACAACAAAAAAAACAACAAAAAAAATCAGATACGTAATTCGTGGATTTCATTTGGATTTAGAAAATCATATAACCTCCTTGGTTTGATCAATAATAAAACAAACAAATAAAAAGGAATTCATTGAAAAAGTTTTGAATTGTCAAAATCCTCGCTTGGTCATTCTAGGTTAAAGTGTTAATTGAAAACTTCTATTACAATAATGGACAGAGACAACTAATTATTTGTTTGTTTTACAATTTATAAATTCTTGTCGGAATTTTATAAGGCATTCAAAACTATATGATTGAAAGCTCATTTCCCTAATCACAATATAATAAACAGTCATATAAGTAAAAGGTGTGAAAATAAATGTTCCTGTCATAAACAATATTACCTAGGGGCAATATCCCCGTACTTAATTCTATTGACTTTTAATCACCAATAAACCAAACTATGACACGGTAATTAACAACTTGCAGTTATTTTCCATGAACAGATTTAATCAATTTTAAAAAGTAAATTATCACTGATATTCGATATATTTATTATTGATTTAGTCAAAATACTTGTATTTTTTTCATTAAAAATATGTGTTATGTTACAATGTATATCGCTAATCAACACTATACTAGAACTGCATAACATGACCCACGAAACCCATGAAAATTGGTAAACCACGAATAAAAATGAATCCACAGTATATAGCATTCAACATTTGACATAATGTCACAAAAAGACATCAAGAGTTCAACATATGGTTTGAAAAATTGAAATTATTATAGTTTTGTCTTGCCTTAAAGATGTGGCAAAGGCCGAAGCTTACTGTGGATTCATTTTTATTCGTGGTATACCAATTTTCGTGGGTTTCGTGGGTCACACCGAACCACGAATTTAAGAGTTCAACGAAGAATAATCCCGAGAAATCTGTATGGAGTCGGATGTTTATTTCCGGTTATGTTATGCAGTTCTAGTATAGTGTTGATTAGCGATAAACATTCTAACATAACACGTGTTTTTATTGAAAGAAGATACAAGTATTTTGATTAAATCAATAATAAACATATCGAATATCAGTGATAATTTACTTTTTAAAATTGATTAAAACTGTTCATGGAAAAAACTGCCAGTTGTTAATTACTGCGTCATAGTTTGGTTTACTGGTGATTAAAAATCAATAGGATTAAGTACGGGGATATATTGCCAATAGGTAATATTGTTTATGACAGGAACATTTATTTTCACACCTTTTACTTATATGACTGTTTATTATATCGTGATTAGAGAAATGAACTTTTAATCATAGAGTTTTGATTACCTTATAAAATTCCGACAAGAATTTATAAATTGTAAAACAAACAAATAATGAGTTGTCTCTGTCCATTATTGTAATAGAAGTTTTCAATGAACACTTTAACCTAGAATAACCAAGCGAGGATTTTGACAATTCAAAACTTTTTCAATGAATTCCTTCTTTTTTGTTTGTTTTATTATTGATCAAACCAAGGAGGTTATATGATCTCCTAAATCAAAAAGAGATCCACGAATTACGTATCTGATTTTTTTTTTTTTTTGTAATCAGCGATCCACGAATTTACGTATACCACGAAACGTCTTTTTTTCTCTATCCACGAAAATTGATACCCACGAAAATAAATGAATCCACAGTATGTGTGCAGTCTCAGGCCACAGCAACACTTTGTTATAAAGTTTTTGATTAGGTCAGTTTAAGGCAAACTACTAATGGTAAGTCATCAGTTTATTATTGTTAACTAGGGAAATTATATGAAGAAATATGCTTTCGTTTGCCTTTATCTTTAAATAAAATCAAAATTCTTAATAAAACACATATTTATTTTCCAGTCTACTGTTTCCCAAGTTGATTCAACAGATGGCAAAATAGAAACAAGTTCTACTGAAGAAACAGGTTCAGAAAAGCTATGCATGCCTACAGGAAACAGTGGACAAGTTGAATTAGATTGCTTGTCAAATAAAAAGAAGAAAAATAGGAAAAGAAAAAGCAAAGAAAGACCAATTGCTCCTGATGCCATTGATGTACTGCAGCCAGGTGTAATTATATCACCTGAGGGCATAGTGGCATCAGGATATGATCGTCAATTGGACATAGCTAGTGAAAAATTAGGAGCAAGACCAATGTTGGGAAGCAAGAAGGAGAAACATAAAGGTGGTCATGGCAAGACAAATCAGAATTCTCCAAGAGACGCACAAAGGTCAAAAGTTCAGACGAATCCTCAAAAGTTAGAAAATCCTAGTTCTCAAAAATCAAATGATAAGTTTGATTTCCATCAAGGTTATAGACCTAATTCTGCATCTAATACCCCTTATAGAAATGAAGGTAAGCCAGGAAGTAGACCAGGGTCTGGGAAATCAAGCAGACTAGAAGGTCAGTCAAGATCAGAAAATAGGCCAGGGTCAGGGTCACCATACAGACAGGAAATAAGAAATACAAACAACCAGTATAGAAACAATGGTAGAGATCATGGTCAACCTTCTCCGGGACAAGGACAGTCTAAAAGAGACAGAACTGGGAACAGACAAAATCAGCAGTACAGAAATACACCTTGTGGAAAGGGAAATAACTCCACATCTAAAGGTAAAGATAATTTAACAGACTGAAAATAACCCTACACATAAATAGGGTAGTAGATTCCCATATTAACAACCACTCTTGTTACTTAGAAATTTATACACCTTATACCCTCACTTGTAGAAATGGCTGTGGTCATGATGGTCAAGATCTTAACATATGCTTACTATAGCAGTTTCCTGTCATGTTAATATTGTGACTCAGTTTTATGGTGGTCAAGATCTTAACATATGCCGTCACCTGTCATGTTAATATTGTGACTCAGTTTTATGGTGGTCAAGATCTTAACATATGCATACTATAGCAGTCACCTGTCATGTTAATGTTGTGACTCAGTTTTATGGTGGTCAAGATCTTAACATATGCATACTATAGCCGTCACCTGTCATGTTAATATTGTGACTCAGTTATATCATTAGACATGATTAACATCATGAACATAAGTGAAGCAAAGATAAACAAATGTTATACACAAAAAGTACCTAATCGTACAGAAAATTTCAGGCATTTATCTCATCTTGTCTTTGTTAAGTTAATGTAAGCTGTAATAACACATAATTACTATGACAAAAATGTCACCTGCAATAGCCATGATAACACATGGACATATGGGTATGTACTCAATTATTTTTAATGGAAAATGATGAATTTCTGCCAAAATTTTGCCATTTCTCATATCTTGATTTAGCTATCTTATTGTTTCAGTGTGCATGGTGTGTGCACACCATTAAATTTTGACATTTAACATTTAACATTTTTTTCAGCAAAATGTATTGTTTCTGAGCAGTTAAAACTTTATCAGACATGTGTATTAACAGTTTGACCAAAAAAAAAGTACATTTCTTCCATAATAACAAATTTCCTGTTATAGCTTTACAGGGTTCTGCATACAATGGCATATGTGCATAGGACTGTTATATACATATTTGATATAAAGACTCAAAAAGACTTCTTGATGTGATTATTTCTTCTGCAGAAAATCAGAAATCTCAAAGACAGGGGGACCGGAATACACCAAGGAACTACCAGAATAAGACAAAACAGGTTAGACTAAACATAATTCAAATTTGTTAGATAAATTTTATGAAGTTAGAATTTAGTCTCTTATTGCTCTTCTATATCTTGACAGTTGCTGGAATTAAATATAAACATTAAATATACATGAAGTTCTAACCAGAGGTCTAAACATATGCCAGAAGTTGTTCACACAAAACATTTTACATGTTTTAGTTATAAACAATTATAATTTACGGAACCTTTACAAAAGTGTTGAAAAGTTCATATTATGGTTGAGGGGACAATAATGGTCCCAAGGCATGTTAATTTTGAAATTATCCTTCAATTAAAACAAACAGACAAGAAAGTCTTAATATTCATCTCATGTAAATGATTTTATATACACCATCTGCTTTTATTTAGCCTCCTTTTGAACCATACATGTCACCTGAAGATTTACAGAGAGGACTAAAGTTAGGACATATTATACAGGTATGTTTACCTTTACAATGAATACTAACCCTTTACCATTGACCCATAGATCCATTTAAAGATCATGCAATGTTATCTATATTACTAACTTTTGCCAATATACACATATCTTCAATATTATAGTAATTTGTGGTGTTTGCTTTCACCTACAAATACATATGTAAAACTGCATAAAAAATGGATTCTTTGATAAAATGTATATTTGTAGTGAATAATAACTGGAAAACGAAAAATAAAAAAATTAAATAAAAGAAATGACAGCCAGTTTTTATATGTCCGTTTGCGGGACGTATTATGGTATAGCGTCTGGGGTTTTATTCATTAAAAAAGGGGGGATTTTCCAGTTTTCGGACAATACCTCAAAAACAATTTCACCAATTTGCATGAAACTTTTTGTGAATTGTTCATATTTATTTACGTGAGCTCCCTTTTGTTTTTTATAAATTTCTGATTTATCGTTTCCGAGTTTTGGGGTTTTATTCATTAAAAAAGGGGGGATTTTCCAGTTTTCAGACAATAACTCAAAAACAATTTCACCAATTTGCGAAAAACTTTGGTGAATTGTTTATTTCTATCGACATGAGCTCCCTTTTAATTTTTATAAATTTAAGACTATACGTTTCCGATTTATGGGGTTTTATTCATTACAAAATGGGGATTTTCCATTTTTCGGACAATAACTCAAAAATGCTTTCAGCATTTTTTATGAAACTTTAGTAAATTGTTTATATCTATTTTTGTAAGCTCCCTTTTGATTTCTATAAATTTTCGATTTTAAGTTCCCAAGTTATAAGATTTTATTTGTTTATAGTCTGACAACAGATTTACTAAGTATTGCACAACAGCACAGTGTATTGCATAACAGCAAGAAATCTTTCATATAACCAATTTCAAGTTCTTTGACTACATTTATTCAGAAACCTATAATATATCAAATATTTAATTACAATCCAAATTCAGACCTGTATCAAGCTTGAATATTGTGTCCATTTTTGCCCGAACTGTTCAGGATTGGACCTCTGCGGGCGTATCCAGCTGCGCTCAGCGAAGCAGTTTATTGAGAACTGTATACCTATTTTATACAGAAATATGTATGCATTCAACTTCTGATTTTAATTGTTTTCTTAAAAAACAAAATTTCTATGTAGATTGACATTTTTTTGGTCATTAAAACAACAAATTTAAGGATTCCTACATTACAAAGATACAGAGACTTGCAAAAAGTATTCAATCACAAGGGCAGTGTTTTTACGTTTGAAAAGGAAAGTTTATGCTTGTGCTGTAAATAAATCAACCAATGAAATACAACAAAAACTTTTAAAATATGTAAAGTCGTTTAGAAAAAAAGTCGGTATAACTGTTATTTTTACGATATTTTCAAAGTCCAAAGCCTGTAATTTTGGCAAAAAACAGCAGAGCTGAAACAAATGTAAACTGGATCTGTAACTCATCGTAGAAGACTCACATACCAAAAATCAGCTCTATATGTTAAAACGTTTAGAAAAAATCTGTATAACTGTTCATTGCAGAATGAAGGAATGACAGACAAGGGTAAAACTATAAGGCCCTGACCACTTTCTGGCGGGACCATAAAAAAACTTACTTTCAATATTTTTTTATTCCCCTGCTATAGCGGAAGGGGCATTACGTTTTACCCTTGTCTGTATATGTCTGTCCGTACGCCCAAAAATTGGTTTCCGTTCTCTAACTTTAGTTTGCCTCAACCAAAGGTTATGAATCTTATACACAATGCTTATTACCTCAAAACACAGATCCATTTTAAATTTTGGTGGCTTCAATTTTACATTTCTAGAGTTATGCCCCTTTACAAATTGAAAAATTGCTGAATTTTTCGTTTCCGTTCTTTAACTTTAGTTTGTTTCAACCAAATATTATTTAACTGATACACAATGCTTATTACCACATTAGACAGATCAAGTTTGAATTTTGGTGGCGTTACTTTTACCGTTTTGGAGTTCTTCCCCTTTACAAATGGAAAAATTGCTGAATTTTTCTTTTCCATTCTCTAACTTTAGTTTGCCTCAACCAAATGTTATGTTACTTATACACAATGCTTATTACCCCAAAACACAGATCAAATTTGAATTTTGGGGGTGTTACTTTTACTGTTCTAGAGTTATGCCCCTTTGCAAATGGAAAAATTGCTGAATTTTTCGTTTCCGTTCTCTAACTTTAGTTTGTTTCAACCAAATATTATGAAACTTATACACAATGCTTATTACCACATGACACAGATCAGCTTAAGTTTGCCTCAACCAAATGTTATGAAACTTGTACACAATGCTTATTACCACAAAACTCAGATCAAGTACAAAGTTGGGTAGCGTCCCTTTATAACGTTATATGCAAGCAGGGGCATCATCTGTGTCCCATGGACACATTCCCCATTTATCTTTGTTAAATTTGTTTGTAATGTCACACAAAGAACTTCTATGACTTGTTTTTACAATGCGTTCTAGCTTACGGTAGTCCTATGGTTTGACAAATAATGGTTGGCCACTTCTTGGTTTATTTTCTATAGAACCTGTGTCTAAAAATTTACGAACAATGTTAATAACTGTTGACTTGGGAAAGTATGTCAACAATTTCACGACGAGATAACCCATTCTGGAACAATTCTATATTCTTGTTTTTGACGTCTGTTGACAGTTCCTGACCTTTTCTACCCATCTTATTATTTTATATGTTCCAACAATACTAAAATGGCAGACAATCACAAATTTCACATGATTGTATACCATGTTTTGCACAACGATTAAGATAAATATAATCATCAGTGATGTGAATGACATAGGCATGGCCATTTAAAACTGATCCAGCTGTTAGAATGTAAACATGACGCCATTGTTACCAAATACTTTTTGCACATCACTGTACAAGTAGTATACTCTGTAAAGGCAGATATTGATTTACTTTCCATAAACATGGTATATGGAAAAGTGCATATTTATGCAAATGAAATATATACAGATTTTTTAATGTTTTGGGTCTTTTTTCAATATTGTATTTCAGGGTCCAATCAGAATCAATCCCAAGAATTATGAAGATGCCTATATACCTCACCCAGTAAGTATGATTATAATAAGATAATTATAAACCAAATTGTGCTTTGTAATTCAATCTTGTATTGAGCAGGTCTAAACTGTTTATTCTTCCATTTAAATGAGTTGTCTCCCATTGTGTATACTTTTTTCTTCTTTTTGTGACTTCAATGGATTTTTATGCCCCCGCCATAGCAGAAGGGGCATTGAGTTTTATTTTTGACTTTGTTATTGCCATTAGAAAGTTCAATATTATTAGTAAATTATTTAATGAAATGTAGTTAGGGTTAACGATAATACAACTGAATTTTAAATATTACAGAGCATACTTGCCAACCTCTGACAATGAGAAATCATGTCATGACATGACATGACATGTCAAAAAGCGTGTGAAAACGCGCGACGAAGATGCAGACTTTTTTATATGAACAATGTTCATAATTTCACAATACATGATTATACAAATTTGTTTATATATAATAAAAACAATATTCTAGAGTAAACTTTTATTGTATTCAACAGTGGTCTGTTTTGCTGCTTTTAAAGCAACACTCTAGGCTTAGGCACATATTCAAAACAACTGCCAGTTTGATTACATTTACTTGATAACAAGGCACACAATATATCATTGTCGAGTTCTGATGAGACAGAATTCAGTGTAGATTTCTTTATAATTGAAAATGTTCTCTCACAGTCAGAATTGATATTTGGCTGTACTTAAATAGCTTGATCAAGCTTTGAAAGGGTGTCATAACGTTTTTTTGCCATCTAAAATGTCATCTGTTATCTTTGTCATTGCTCCCAACGAACTATATAATTATGTTGCTATTCAGCCTATTGTCTCTGAGACTGAGGCTATTGTCTGGTCAAAACTGGGTAGTTCATCAGAAGACAGCTGGTACTATGAGAACTGATCCAACAGTTCCGTGATATTTCCATCCCCTTTGGCCTGTGGGAATCTGTTGGCTAGATTTGAAACTGAAAAAGAAAAGTATTTTATTATTTGATTACCATTAAGCACGTTAAATGCTTAATCAAATCGCTACATTGTAGTTCTCTCACATGTATTGTTATGATTGCAACATAGGGTGCACAATGCGTTACCGTCTCTCGATAAATTAAACTTGAACTCCCAAATATAATTTGTAAATCTTGAAATTTATCTTTGTACGTACACATCGTTTTCGCTCAGCAATCGGCTCGGTACAGGTCCTGAAAGCGAACTATTTCTGTCGACATTTTCCCTAAGTGAATTTGAAAGAAAAAAGTCACAAAATCGAAAAATCTAATCACAAACTACTTACCTTAAGGGCTTTTGCTGTTCGTCCATATAGAAAAATAAACAATGGCGACGATATTACTTCGAAATTTTCGGTATTTTTTGTCTTATAATGAAAAAACCCGAGAATCGCGATATCACTAACGACCAAAAAATCTAAACAACGAAAAAGCGTGTAATTGCGTGTAAAGTGGCAAAACGCGTGTACACGCCATGTGACAAAATCCTCGCGTGTAAACCGTTGAAAAAGCGTGTATTACACGCGAATATCATGTCAGTTGGCAACTATGTTACAGAGTTTGTAGGAAAAAATATACATGAAAAATTGATACACTGCTATATGAAAATACCTACATGTACACGCCTGACAAATACCTACACTAATGAGAAAAACACTGCCAAATGAAAATATCTACATGTACACACCTGACAAATACCTACACTAACTAGAAAAACACTGCTAAATGAAAATACCTACATGTACACACCTGACAAATACCTACACTAATGAGAAAAACACTGCTACATGAAATTCACTACATGTACACACCTGACAAATACATACACTAATGAGAAAACTCAGCTAAGTGAAATTCACTACATGTACACACCTGACAAATACATGCACTAATGAGAAAACACTGCTAAATGAAATTCACTACGTGTGCACACCTGACAAATACATACACTAATGAGAAAACACTGCTAAATGAAAAAACCAGCACGTGCACACCTGACAAATACATACACTAAAGAGAAAAACACTGCTAAATGAAAAAACCAGCACGTGCACACCTGACAAATACCTACTCAAATGAGAAAATTACATTACATAATAAAAATAGGATAATAAAAATTATAGAGGATAAAATATGTAACGAATTAATATGAAAATAAGATATGGTATGATTGCCAATGAGACAACTATTCACCAGAGTTCAAATGATGAAGAAATAAGCAATTATATGCCACCATAAGGCCTTCAATAATGAGAAAAACCAATATCGTGTAGTCAACTTTTAAAGGACACGACATGTTCAAATGACAGAGATAAAAGCAATTCATAATTTATGTTGTAATTATATATAGACTTGTCAAAAGTTAGAAAAAATATGTCGTTGTGATAACATGGTGTGAATGATATTTGATTAACTCTGTTGTATTATGTCAACATTAGAGTTATTTTTTTCTCAGGATGGTGTATCAGACATATTTATTTGTGGTATGAAGGAGAGAAACCGAGCTTTGAATGGTGACATAGTAGCTGTTGTATTACATGACAGGGATAACTGGAAGGTTTGCTCATTTGTAGGATTTAGATAGATAATGCTAATTTTCATGCTGCAAATGATAGACCATTTACTTTTTTTTATGCCCCCGCCGTGTTATGAAAATGTTATGAAACTTATACACAATGCTTATTACCACAAAACACAGATCAAGTTTGAATTATGGTGGCGTCACTTTAACCGTTCTAGAGTTATGTCCCTTTATAAATGAAAAAATTGCTTATTTTCATGTTTAACATATTTTGTTTTTTAAAGGGTATTTTTTGCCATTATTATAAATTTGATTCTAAAAATACTTACAGTGATTATGTTTTTATCATTAGATTATTACAGTTATGTTTTGTAATTAATTTACATCAATTTTCCTAGTTCATTTCAGTTTTATTATTTTATATTATTCACTATATAAATTAATGTTTTTGACAGGAATATTTTCTTTGTTTTTATGAGTACTTCCAAAATTATTGAAAATTTTGGCTTATCAATTTGAAAATAACATATTTTGATTTCAGATACATGTTAAAAATCTTAAAGATCTTGAAGAAAAACATCAGGAAGTTGAATCCAGTAGCAAACCAAATGATGATAGTCAGTCAGAGGTCACCCCAAGGACAGAAGGTCAAGGTGAATCAGACAGTGAACCAGATGTTATTATAGAAAGTGAAGAAATAATAGATTTGACCACTAATAGCATAAGTGAGAGCCAATCAGCAGCAAATTTATCTATATCATCTGAACAGAATATTGACCAATCATGTGACAACAAATCAATAACTGCTGATGAGCTTCCTGTGTCATCATTAGCGACTAAAAGTGTCTCATCTGCATTCTGTACTGACAGTCAGGAAAATGCTTCTACTGAATTGAAAAATGTCCAAGATGTTACAAATCAGTTAGGAGACATTTCTATTGACGCTAAAGACATGAAAACAATTAACTCAGTTCCAAATACACCACAAAATGATAACAACATGAGTGGTACTCCTTTGACAGATACATCAACTGCTCCACACAGTAAGACAGAGGATAAGAAAGATAGACGTTCACAAAGGGGCCGAAATTCTTCTCAGAAAAATTATTCTACGTTACAGGAAGTAATGAAAGAAGGAAGTGACGTGGTTAAAAATCTCTTCACCACTGATGATACAGTCAAATCTAACTCGGCTAACCGAGTTTTACAGAGAACTGGAAAGGTAATTATTAAGTTGTATTATACAAAAATCATTTCTTTACTGTAAATTAAATATGTAGTCATAGTGTGAGCATGACTTTGTATGATACTGTGGATTCATTATTATTCAGAGGATACCAGTTTTCGTCGATTTTGTAGGTAAAGGTTACCCACAAATTTAAATGTTCAAAGAAGTATTTTTCTATTGGCTTGTATGCAGACTTTGGCAAAACCATGAAATTAAATATCCACGAAAATGTAAGTTTTCCTCAATCCCCATGAATATGATGAAAATAAATGAATCTTCAGTAGTTAGAGTTTTCAACAACCAACAAGATATAATGCCAGATTTATTGATGTCTGATAGTGGTTCCATGTAATGCTGAACTAGAATATAACCTGCAATTTAAAATATGTGAGTTTTAGTTATTGTAATGTAAACCTTGTCTTGTTTATTTTATCAATGAAAACACCATAACGTCCGAATGATCAGTCAAAATGAAAGTTGATACAATCAAGGTTGATATTTTATTACTCAATATGCAACATCACAATATTAATTTGTTTGATACATGTACCTTTAAAAAACCATAGTGATAATGATTAAAGTGTTCATTATGAGACAGCAACAAAACTACACAAAAAAATCAAACAGAAGTGCACAGGATGGTCAAAGTGTGTTAATTTAAAAAAATATTTAAATAATAAATTTTGCCATTGATGTTATAACAGGTTGTAGCTATCATTGAACCTAAGCATTCTAGAGCCTGTACTGGACATATTCATTTAATGGCTGACAGAAATCCTGATACAGCTTTGTTCAAACCTCTTGACTACAGGTTACCTAGAATTATGATCCCTATGAACAATTGTCCTAAAGGTAAGAAAAGTTTATATATGGTATAGTTATCATTAGAAAAACTACTAGATCGCAGGTTATTTAGAATTATGAAATCATTGGAAAATTAGCTGTAATCTTAGAATAAACTCCTCATAGATACCAGGATAATTTTTTTTTACGCTAAACACTCATTTTGTCTTTACAAGACTCATCAGTGACGCTTGATATTAAGAGTTAAAAAAGCCAAATAAAGTATGAAGTTGAAGAGTACTGAAGACCCAAACTTCTGAAAAGTTTTGCCAAATACAGTTAAGGTAATCTGAGAAATGACAATTTTGAAACTTCAATAAAAAAATTACAAAATCATGGATTTCTTTGTATTAACATTTCTGGGATTAATTTTCCTAACGAAAAGTTTAAATGAGCAATTGGAAATGTACAACAGCTGGTTATAAAAATATAATCTCCAATGGGTTGGATGGCTGATCTATACTACTCTCAGACAAACCACTGTAACAACATGATCAAAGACTTTTCTCCAATTATAAAATACTCTGCTATTGAAAGGGGTCAGGTCTGAGGATTTGGTCTTTCATTTTGCAGGATTAGGTATCAGGCCTTCATTTTTGCAGGAATTCATGATTTACACTAATCAGGACTCAGGATTTCATGATTAACTTTTCAGAATCGGGGAAAGATATTTAATTTTCCGGGATTCAGGATGACACCCCTTCCTATCGCCTGTCTATTGATGAAACTTCAAATTTTTTGTAACTTTTCCAAGTCAATCTAGAACATTTTACCTTACAGTTTGAAATCTATTGTCAAAAACTGATATTTAAATGATCAAACAAAAATCATTTGTCAACACAAATGGAGTTGCACTTCCTTTTTTTTTACATTGCAAAAATAAACAAAAAAATGCTATTTTCTTGGATGGACTAGTAAAGAGTTGTGACAATCTATTTGCAATTGTACATGTGCTATTGCTAGTGTCTTTAGTAAAGAAAGTATGAAAGAATATTACTATTTATTAGTTACTGAAAATTAATTTTGGCAACTGACAAAAATTTTCAAAGTCCATAATGAAATGACTGTCAATTTGGAAAAGACCTTTATTACTTTGTATAGTCAGGAGAGTTATGATGTTAGATATTGGTATAAATGTTTCTCTTTTACACAGATTTCACCTTTAGGCCAGAAGATCATGTCAACACTCTGTTTATATGTAGAATAACCGAATGGAAGGAAGACTCTATGTTTGCTCACGGGTAAGTTATAACTGAATTCATTCTTTATCATTTAAACTTTCCCTCTCGGTATTGTTTCACACTTGCTGATCACGAATGATGTGTTTGCATCATTTCAGCTCTTTGTTTGTTAAAATTCAACTTTGATGTCAAATTTTCGTGGCATTCTATGATTTTTTGAAGATACAGAAAAAGATGGATAGACAAGTTGCAATTAAATTCAACAAAGACTTCAAACCTGAAATCATCCTGAACATACATGAAATATTTGCCACTGGATGTTAAGCACCCAGCAATCAATCAAAACAAATAAAAACAGCAGTGAATTCCTTATAAGGTAAAATCTTTCAGATATACACTGACAAAATTCCTGACTTGGGACAGGCACATTAACCTATGGCAGGGTTAAACTAATTCTCCAGATACTCAACCCATTTTAACTTGATCATCATATATGAATTATGTTGAACAAGTTAAAAAGGGTTGAGTAAAAAAATAATACTGTTTTCTTGACATATACACATCTTTTGTTTGTTTCTATGATATAATTCAGAATTTTATTTACAGACTTTAGAATTTGATACATATGTTTACAGAGAATTAATGAGGAGTTTAGGAGAAGCAGGGGAAATAGAACCAGAAACAGAAGGAATCCTGATAGAAAATGATGTAGATTACTCAGAATTTACTGAGGAGGTGTGTTGAAATATGCCATTATACACAGGACTTAAACAAGACACAAAATGACCAATTAAGCCATTTTGAAAGGATTTTGGTATTCTATTGTAAAGTGGTTAACATTAGTTAAAAATATTTGTTACATGTAGTAGCATTCCAACTACTGTAAACCAACTTATTTTTACAGATTCCTTTTGGCATTTTGGTTTATCCTTGTCCGTCTGTAAGTCCCAAAATTGGTTTCCATCCTCTCACTTTAGTTTCCCTTGACCAAATGTTATGAAAGTTATACAAAAAACTTATTATCACAAAACACAGATCAAGTTGGAATTTAGGTGGCATCACTTTTATCGTTCCTGAGTTATGCCCCTTTATAAATGGAAAAATTGCTGAATTTTTTCGTTTCTGTTCTTTGACTTTAGTTTGCCTCAACCAAATGTTATGAATCTTATACACAATACTTATTACCATAAAACATTATCAAGTTCAAATTTGGGTGCTGTCACGTTTACAGTTCTCTAGTTATGGTCCTTTGTTATGTTTTATGCAAGCGGGGGCATCACCTGTGTCCCATGGACACATTCTCCATTTAACTGAGTTTATCCAATTCTAGTCGACTTTGCAGCGAATAATTTTTATGAATTTATAACTTGCTGGGTGTATTAAGATAAGGGAAGATTTATATTCATGATGTAGTCTAAAAAAAAATCTCTTGCGCAAATAAGTTGGTTTGCAGTGACAAGTTTAATAAAAAATTGAAATGCTGTAGGTATAAAAATAAAGAGATGTTGTATAATTGCCAATGAGACAATTATCCACCAGAGTTCAAAAGAAGTGGATGTAAGCAATTATAGCCAACTGTACGACCTTCAACAATGAGGTACAATGCAATTTGTAATATTGGACAAGCTACCTCACATCTGAGGTCTTTTATTTGGAAGGAGAAAAGAAAAGAAATCTGCTTAAAATGTTAAATCATTTTGTAAAAACTTATTGTACCATAGTACTGAACAATCTGGAATAAGCCCTGTTAATGTAACAATATCTATTCTTTTAATTGCAGATGTTGAGTACCTTGCCAGTACATTCATTACCATGGCAGATCCCTGATGCTGAGATCACTAAACGGAGAGATTTCCGTCAACAATGTGTGTTTACTATAGACCCTGCGACAGCAAGAGATCTAGATGATGCTCTGTCTTGTGAGAAACTGGATGATGGTAAATAGATTTAAAATGTTATGTCAGGATAGGAAGACAGTAGGAAATATGTGCTGCTAAAACAAGCAACCCTGTAAAATCGAAAGTTTAATTTCAGATGATTATGAAATAGAATTTTTTATACGACGGCAAAAAAATTTTTGTGGTCGTATATTGGTATGACGTTGGCGTCGTCGTCGTCCGGCGTCGTCGTCGTCGTCGTCTGGCGTCGTCCGAAGACACATTGGTTTTCGCACTCTAACTTTAGTTTAAGTGAATGAATCTTTATGAAATTTTACCACAAGGTTCAATACCACAAAAGGAAGGTTGGGATTGATTTTGGGGGTTATGGTAATAACAGTAAAGGAATTAAGGGCCAAAAAGGGGCCAAAAATAAGCATTTTTGTAACTTCCAGACATAACTTGTGTGTTAGTGTATGGATCTCTCTGACATTGTACCACAAGGTTCCATATCACTAAAGGAATGCTGGGATTGATTTTGGGGGTAATTGCCTCAAAATTTTAGGAATTAGGGGCCAAAAAAGGGGCAAAAAACAAGCATTTTTCTAGTTTCATGACAATAACTTGTGTGTAAGTGTATGGATCTTTCTGAAATTGTACTACAAGGTTCCATATCACAAAGGGAAAGCTGGGTTTGAGTTTGGGGGTAATTGCCCTAAACGTTTAGGAATTTGGGGCCAAAAAGGGGCCAAAAAACACATTTTTTTCTAGTTTCCAGACAATAACTTGTGTTCAAGTGTATGGATCAATCTGAAATTGTACTGCAAGGTACCATACCACAAAGGGAAGGCTGGGATTGAGTTTGGGGGTGATGAATCATAATGGGGGTTCAAAAAATTTTGGGGGGGGATTTATTTTTTTTTCCTTTTTTTTCTTTTTTTCCTTTTTTGTTTCTTTTAAAATTTTCCATTTTAAGTTGGTTATTTCTGATTTATATTTAAAATCAAATAATAATGATATGGTAGGAGATACACACCAAACAGGATGTGTAAATTATTATATAATAAGTATTGTGCAATAGCAAGAAATTTTCAATTGCACAGTATTGCACAATAGCAAGAAATCTTCAATTGCACAGTATTGCGCAATAGCAAGAAATCTTCAATTGCACAGTATTGCGCAATAGCAAGAAATATCCAATAGCACAATATTGCGCAATAGCAAGAAATTGTCAATTGTACAGTATTGCGCAATAGCAAGAAATATTTAATAGCACAGGATTGTGCAAAAGAAGATACTTCCTATAAATTGCTTATTTCTTGACCAATTTCAATGGGGTTTTATTCTTGATTTCATGGGGTTCTTTAATATGCTGAATCTAACCGTGTATTTAGTTTTTGGATTTTGGGCCCCGTTTTTAAATTGGTCCACATTGAGGTCCAAAGGGTCCAAAATTAAACTTTGTTTGATTTCATCAAAAATTGAATTATTGGGGTTCTTTGATATGCCGAATCTAACTGTGTATTTAGATTCTTAAATTTTGGTTCCGTTTTCAAATTGGTCTACATTAAGGTCCAAAGGGTCCAAAATTAAACTTAGTTTGATTTTAACAAAAATTGAATTCTTAGGGTTCTTTGATATGCTGAATCTAAACATGTATTTAGATTTTTGATTATGGGCCCAGTTTTCAAGTTGGTCCAAATCGGGGTCCAAAATTAAACTTTGTTTGATTTCAACAAAAATTGAATATATGGGGTTCTTTGATAAGCTGAATCTAACCATGTATTTAGATTTTTGATTTTTGGGCCCCGTTATCAACTTTGTCCACATTGAGGTCAAAAGGGTCCAAAATTAAACTTTGTTTGATTTCATCAAAAATTGAATTATTGGGGTTCTTTGATATGCCGAATCTAACCGTGTATTTAGATTCTTAATTTTTGGTTCTGTTTTCAAATTGGTCTACATTAAGGTCCAAAGGGTCCAAAATTAAACTTAGTTTGAGTTTAACAAAAATTGAATTCTTAGGGTTCTTTGATATGCTGAATCTAAACATGTATTTAGAAATTTTGATTATGGGCCCAGTTTTCAAGTTGGTCCAAATCGGGGTCCAAAATTAAACTTTGTTTGATTTCAACAAAAATTGAATATATGGGGTTCTTTGATATGCTGAATCTAACCATGTATTTAGATTTTTGATTTTTGGGCCCCGTTATCAACTTTGTCCACATTGAGGTCAAAAGGGTCCAAAATTAAACTTTGTTTGATTTCATCAAAAATTGAATTCTTGGGGTTCTTTGATATGCTGAATCTAACCATGTATTTAGATTTTGGATATTGGACCATAATAGGTGAATGTCCAATTTAAAATCTTTAAGTTCTTAGACCACATTCAATCTGTGTTAGAAACCTATGCTGTGTCAAATATTTAATCACAATCCAAATCCAAAGCTGTATCAAGCTTGAATGTTGTGTCCATACTTCCCCCAACTGTTCAGGGTTCGACCTCTGCGGTCGTATCAAGCTGCGCCCTGCGGAGCATTTTATTATGAAATAGAATATTTAAAAAATATTTTGCTTAACTGTGCAATTAATTTCAGGAATTCTAAGTTATAGAGTTAAATGGTAAAATTAATTGTCATATTTAAAATTGTTTGACTGGAGATATGCACAGATTCGAGATGGGTTCAGGGTTTAAAACCAGTAAATTGATATTTGAATACAGATATAGATTTTATCTCCAGTAAAGTGTTAACAATTATTTTATTAGTCTATCATTCAATACATTGACTGAATAAGATTTGTGCATCATAATATTTTTGGATTGTTTTTGTTTTAGGTACTTACAACGTAGGAGTACATATAGCTGATGTCAGTTATTTCCTGAAAGAAGATACATCATTAGATAAGAGAGCCAGATTCAGGGCTACAAGTGTTTATCTAGTTCAGAAGGTTAGGAAAACATAATATATCTTTATACCAAATGTTAAAAGTGATGATTATGGTTCATTATTATACATGGTAAAGGAAGGAATTAAATTATCATCTACAGTGCCAGTCCTAAAATAATTTAATCTATTTTAGTGAAATATTGGAACTGAGTACATACTACACAATCCAATTTCTTTATGTTTAATACAGTTTCATATATTTCTTGAATTTTTGTTTGAATCTAAAGTTACTATTTAAAATGTTAAAACATTTAGATACTGTTGTATACAGATGTGTACACCTATCTTGAGGACTGCTTAATTGTATGATTTTATACAGATGTGTACACCTATCTTGAGGATTACTTAATTGTATGATTTTATACAGATGTGTACACCTATCTTGAGGATTACTTAATTGTATGATTTTATACAGATGTGTACACCTATCTTGAGGATTACTTAATTGTATGATTTTATACAGATGTGTACACCTATCTTGAGGATTACTTAATTGTATGATTTTATACAGATGTGTACACCTATCTTGAGGATTACTTAATTGTATGATTTTATACAGATGTGTACACCTATCTTGAGGATTACTTAATTGTATGATTTTAGGTCATTCCTATGTTACCCAGAATTCTATGTGAAGAGTTGTGTAGTTTGAATCCAAACCAAGATAGACTGACATTCTCTGTTGTATGGAATATGTCAGAGAAAGGGGAGGTAATTAGATTGTTTTTGCTATTTCCTGAAATGCTTTTAATACTATAATCTTCTAAATCTATGAAAAAAAAATTACATGTGGAATATATGTCAGTGAGACATTTACTGAATAGATGTTGTCATATTAAACTTGAAAGTATTTGCTTGGTTCCTTGAAAAAACATCAAAATTTAAGTGAAAAACTAGGCATATATTTTATTTATTCAAAAACATTTTACAAGTAAATGCACCAACAAATGAATATTCTTCAATTTTGAATAAAGTTACTTTCACTTTGAAAAGTTTTGAAAATAAGTGTATTTTAACAGAAAATTTTTATGCCCTTGCCATAGCGGAGGAGGCATTAAGTTTTACCCTTGTCTGTCTGTATGTCCGTACTTCCCGAAATTGGTTTCCGTTCTCTAACTTAAGTTTGCCTCAACCAAATGTTATGAAACTTATACACAATGCTTATTACCACAAAACACAGATCAAGGTTGAATTTTGGTGGTGACACTTTTACCGTTCTAGAGTTATGCCCCTTTACAAATGGAAACATTGCTGAATTTTTTTTGTTTCCATTCTCTAACTTAAATTTGTCTCAACCAAATGTTATGAAACTAATCCACAATGCTTATTACCACAAAACTCGGATCTAATTTGAATTTGGGTAGCATCACTTTACCATTCTAGAGTTATGTCTCTTTATAATGTTATATGCAAGCAGGGGCATCACACATTCCCCATTTATTTGTGTTGTTTCTCACAATATAATTTCTTATACTGAATTAAATGAAATTTTATGTTTCTGAAAGATTTTGTGTAAACACCCCTTACAACCTCATGGTTTTAGGGTTCAAATTATACATGATCTTCCAATGGGTGCTTTTTCCCAGAAAAAATTGATATCACAAAACAAATATCTTCCAGTCCTAATGCCTCGTGACGTTTTTCCCCAAATGAGCCCAGGTCAACTGGGGCAGTTCATTCATAAAATAGAAATTTAAAATTTGATCTATTCACCCAGCATTTATCATTTGCCTGTAGCCTACAGACACAATAGAGCTAAAAGGATTAACACTCTGTTGGATGCTGCTCTTCAAACTTAAAAAACAAAATAGAATATTATTGAAATATTGACAGAGTCAATTAATGTGAATATTAAAGACAAAATATCCTTTAACCTGAAAATAAAAGAACTTAAGGATGCTGTTAATTTTTTTAGTAAAATATTGAATTGAAATTAACTTATTGGTAACCTACATAAATTAGAAATGCATTTTTTCGTAGATATATGGAGAATGGTTTGGCAGAACTGTGATCAGATCTTGTGTAAAACTTAGCTATCAACATGCTCAGGTATTAAACTATAAAAATATTGGCATGCTCAGGTAACAGAAACATGTAAAACCTAAACATCAATATGTTCAGGTATTATAAACATATTGTTATAATATGTTTATAATACATAACATTTATGTATACAAGTCACATTACCTGAAGATCTGTGAAAGCAGTGAAAGTTCTAGTAAAAGTGATGAATTGAAACCGTCATTATCTTATATTATTTTTCTTATATATATATATATATATATATATATATATATATATATATATATATATAAGTCTGAAAATTACACCCAACAGTGTTAGAATTAGACTTTTATGCTGACAAATTTTTGTCCCTCAACGGGATTCGAACTCACACCTTTGATACACTACAGCACCAATCGCTTAGCCTCATGTCCAGCGCTCTATATACATATATATATAGAAGTCTATAAAAAGGACCAACCAGCAAATTTACTATGTACCGGATCGTTGTGCAAATCTCTAGACTTTATATATATATATGTACAAGTCTAAATTGAAAACAATGTTCAAACCTATGATTGCATTGGATAAAAGTTGCAATTTTTATACGTGTGCATGCAAAACAAATTTCTTGGTAGAGGGGTCTAAAAACAGCACACACAACATTTTCTAAAAGACCAAAAAAGTGAAAAAGTATATTTTAACAAAACGCATTTGACTAGCAGGTCGAACAACGGATGTTCTTAAACCCTGCTGACTGCAATTGGCGATTGCCAAATAAATGGATCACCAGATGTAACAAAATGGATCTTAACTATTAATTTAATACCAAACAGAAAACAATAAACTTGCGGAAAGATGGTATACCTCAAACAAAAGGTGCAAAAATTAGTACACCATATCTGGATTTCGACAATTAATGTCTCTTCAGTGATGTTAGGAATCGAAACGGTATTTGGAAGACCATATAACTTACCTCAATTTAGGATAGACTCTTGAATTTATATATATATATATATATATATATATATATATATATATATATATTTTTGGTCTTTTGAAAAATGTTGTTTGTGCTGTATTTAGACCCCTCTAAAAAGGAATTTGTTTTGCATGCACACGTATAAAAATTGCGGTTTTTATCCAACGCAATCATAGGTTTGAACGTTGTTTTCAATCTAGACTTGTTTATATATATATATATAAGTGCCTAAGAATGTAACTTTAACACACTAATGAGTGTTATAATATTAGTTGTTATATTTTATATTATTCACACAATATTTCGCAATAAATTGAGACTCCCAAAGGAGAAAACAGAGAGAAAGGTTCTGGATGCATCAGCTACGTACTCTTGAACCTGATGGACTTAATGAGAGAGATGAAAAACAGTTCTACCCAAAACCAAAGGAATAAATCCTGAACTTCATTCTATTTAACTAAAACAACTACCGTAGAAAGGCTTGTATAGTTCGCAGTGGTACATAGTCCGCACCCCCTTCTCCCCACGAAATTTTAGGTAAAAAAACTTTTTGTAACTGTTAGAAAAGGTCTAATGAAACTCCGGTAATTTCAAATCCTGTGCGGTCGTTTGCGGTATTTTCTTGGAAAAACCTGTTTTCCATCATCAAACAGAAGCTGAAACTGCTTGTTAATGATTCTAGAACGCTTCATGATTGTTAAAATAAGTTTAATTTACTTAAAAAACAATTTAGAAACTTGTGTATGTTTAAACAGGAAGTTTAAAAAGCACGTGTAAAAGAAGAAATTAACCGGTGAGAGTCGAAATCCGTACATAACAGATATCACTATAATACGACTTTGAAAGTAAAACAGTTCCATCCTTTTGTAAAACAGTCTTTAATATATCTATCACATTAATGTTTGAAGGGTCTTAAGCTAATACAAACCATATTAGTCAGTATGAAACACCAAAACGGAACGAACAATAACCGATTTCGTTTTGTAGTTTACAAATTCTAAGCTGGTTTACGGTTGTCTTTTTCACTATGTTTGTATCGTTTCAATCGAGCAGATACCAGTTTATTTCAACCAATGCATTGAAAAGAAACTAGAAATTTGTAATGAAAGGTTTAGTTTTTATATTTATCAGTATTAATTTGATATTGAATAGAAATAACTTATTAATATGGATGAGTTAAAATAATTAGTTTGAAAAATGATAAGAGCGCCCTCTACAATAGAAATAACAAAGATGGCGGAACGTAAACAAACCACCTCGACCGCGAAATTGAAATTTTTCTCTTATTTCTTGCTTATTGTACTCTATAGTCCGCACCCCGTCTGGAAGGTCCAATTTTGGAGAATAAAACCGCGGACTATACAAGCCTTTCTACGGTATTTGTTTTGATTTAAGAATTGCTATGTACAATAAGCAGCAAAAATATTTTTCTAGACATTTAACATTGAGCTGCATAAATTTCTTTACAGCCTCTAACTTCTACCTGGTTGGCTGCACGCGCCTGATGAAGCTAATTTGTTTAGCGAAATATTGTGTGAATAATTATAGAATAACTAATCGAAGAATTCAAATAGAGAAAAATATTCAACGAGTGACCGAACAACACATTAATTCACGAATGCGCGTAGCGCATGAGTTAATTATCAGTGTTGTTCGGTCACGAGTTGAATATTTTTCGATATTTGAATTCTTTGATTAGTTATTCTTTTTATTACATTGGCAAATGGCTTTTTTTAATGAAATTAATGTAGAAAATGTAAGGAACTATATCTTTTTTCTACGCATTCACAATTTGTTTTGATCCGATGTTATCGACGTCTTGACAACGCCTATTGTTGTATGACGTCAGAGAGTGAAATAACCACGTTTATTTCACATGTGAAATTATCGGTTTTTATTTGACTGGGAAATCAATGTAATTCATTGCTACCAATGTAATAATATAAAATATAGCAACTAATTTTATAACACTCATTAGTGTGTTAAAGTTACATTCTTAGGCACTTATATAATTTAATGTAGTAACTGCATCAGTTTATTTACAAACTGATCCACGCCTAGATAGATTGAATGTTGATTGTTGCTATTTTTATACGACCGCAAAAAAATTTTGAGGTCGTATATTGGTATGACGTTGTCGTCGTCGTCGTCGTCCGGCGTCGTCGTCCGAATACACAATGGTTTTCGCACTCTAACTTTAGTTTAAGTGAATGGATCTCTATGAAATTTTACCATAAGGTTCAATACCACAATAGGAAGGTGGGGATTGATTTTGGGGGTTATGGTACCAACAGTTAAGGAATTAGGGGCCAAAAAGGGGCCGAAAATAAGCATTTTTGTAACTTCCAGACATAACTTGTGTGGTAGCATATGGATCTCTTTGACATTTTACCACAAGATTCCATATCACAAAGGGTCAATGCTGGGATTGATTTTGGGGTTAATTGCCTCAAAATTTTAGGAATAAGGGGCCAAAAGGGGGCAAAAAACAAGCATTTTTCTAGTTTCATGACAATAACTTGTGTGTAAGTGTATGGATCTTTCTGAAATTTTACTACAAGGTTCCATTTCACAAAGGGAAAGCTGGAGTTGAGTGTTGTGGTAATTGCCCAAAACTTTTAGTAATAAGGGGCCTAAAAAGGGGTTTAAAATAAGCATTTTTTAGTTTCTAGACAATAACTTGTGTTCAAGTGTATGGATCTCTCTAAAATTGTATTACAAGGTACCATACCACAAAGGCAAGGCTGTTATTGAGCTTGGTTTGGGGGGAAAGGGGGGTGGGGGTGATGAATCATAAGGGGGGCGGGGGTCAAAAAAGGGGTAATTTTTTTTTTTCCTTTTTTTTTTGTTTAAAATTTACATTTTAAGTTAGTTATTTTTTATCACGAAGAGAAAGTAGGAATTGAGTTTTGGGGTTAATTGCTCAAACATTTATGAATAAGGGGCCAAATATTGGTCGAAAATAAGGATTTTTTTTAGTGTGCTCTAATGTTTAAGGAATAAGGGGAAAAAAGGTTAAAAAACAAGGGTTTCCATTTTAATAGACAAATAATTGAGTAAAGAACATTATTTAAAAGCAGTGTAAGGTTGGTAATTCAAACTCATTTAAATATCTCATCTACACTGCTTTTAAATTATGTAAATTGGAAATTTGCCAATAACTTTATTGTTAATAAATGCATTGGAAATTTGCCAACAATTTTAGTGTAATAAACTTCATTGGAAATTTGCCAATATAAAATTTTGCTGATGAAGGTTTTTTGTTTACCTTTAGCCTTGACTATGAAGTCATTTTCTATTTTTATAGCCTTATGATGTAGTTGAATTATTTAATACTTTTATGATGTGTTTAAATGGGGTTTTATCATGTTTATGGTTGCAAATTTATTGTTTTAGTATAATAAACTCCATTTAAAATTTGCCAATAAAAAAAAATTTTGTTTATTTTTAGCTATGATTATGATGTCATTTTCTATTTTACTTTTATGGTTGCAAAGAAATTTTTATTTTTAGATATTACTGTTAAATGATGCTGATTAAGGTTTTTGCTATGTTTAGCCATGACTATGATGTCATTCTCTATTTTAATATCTGTTATGATGTATTTAAATGGGCTTTTATGGTTACAAAGGAATTTTATTTTTAGATATTACTATAAAATGTTGCTGATGCTGATTAAGGATTTTGTTTATTTTTAGCCATGACTATGATGTCATTTTCTATTTTAATACCTTTATGATGTAATTTCCATTTTTAGATATTACTGTTAAATGATGCTGATTAAGGGTTTTTTGCTATGTTTAGCCATGACTATGATGTCATTTTCTATTTTAATATCTTTATGATGTATTTAAATGGGCTTTTATGGTTACAAAGGAATTTCATTTTTATACGACCGCAAAAATTGAAAATTTTTTGGTCGTATATTGGTATGACGTTGGCGTCGTCGTCGTCGTCCGGCGTCGTCCGGCGTCGTCCGAAGACACATTAGTTTTCGCACTCTAACTTTAGTTTAAGTTAATGGATCTCCATGAAATTTTACCATAAGGTTCAATACCACGAAAGGAAGGTTGGGATTGATTTTGGGGGTTATGGTACCAACAGTTAAGGAATTAGGGGCCAAAAAGGGGCCAAAAATAAGCATTTTTGTAACTTCCAGACAATAACTTGTGTGTAAGTGTATGGATCTCTCTGACATTGTACCACAAGGTTCCATATCACAAAGGGAAGGCTGTAATTGATTTTGGGGGTAATTGCCTCAAAATTTTAAGATAAGGGGCCAAAAAAGGGGCAAAAAACAAGCATTTTTCTAGTTTCATGACAATAACTTGTGTGTAAGTGTTTGGATATTTCTTAAATTGTACTACAAGGTTCCATATCACAAAGGGAAAGCTGGAATTGAGTTTGGGGGTAATTGCCCGAAACGTTTAGGAATTGGGGGCCAAAAAGGGGCCAAAAATAAGCATTTTTCTAGTTTCCAGACAATAACTTGTGTTCAATTGTATGGATCTCTCTGAAATTGTATTGCAAGATACCATACCACAAAGGGAAGGCTGGGATTGAGTTTGGGGGTGATGAATCATAAGGGGGTTCAAAAAATTTGGGGGGGGGGTTTCTTTTTTTTTCTTTTTTTTCCTTTTTTTTTTCTTTTAAAATTTTCCATTTTAAGTTGGTTATTTCTGATTTATATTTAAAAGCAAATAATAATGATATGGTAGGAAATACACACCAAACAGGATGTGTAAATTATTATACAATAAGTATTGTGCAATAGCAAGAAATTTTCAATTGCACAGTATTGCACAATAGCAAGAAATCTTCAATTGCACAGTATTGCGCAATAGCAAGAAATCTTCAATTGCACAGTATTGCGCAATAGCAAGAAATATCCAATAGCACAATATTGCGCAATAGCAAGAAATTGTCAATTGTACAGTATTGCGCAATAGCAAGAAATATTCAATTGCACAGTATTGTGCAAAAGAATATACTTTGTATAAATTGCTTATTTCTTGATCAATTTCAATGGGGTTTAATTCTTGAATTCTTGGGGTTCTTTAATATGCTGAATCTAACCATGTATTAAGTTTTTGGATTTTGGGCCCTGTTTTTAAATTGGTCCACATTGAAGTCCAAAGGGTCCAAAATTTAACTTTGTTTGATTTCATCAAAAATTGAATTATTGGGGTTCTGTGGTATGCCGAATCTAACCGTGTATTTAGATTCTTAATTTTTGGTTCCGTTTTCAAATTGGTCTACATAAAGGTCCAAAGGGTCCAAAATTAAACTTAGTTTGATTTCAACAAAAATTGAATATATGGGGTTCTTTGATATGCTGAATCTAACCATGTATTTAGATTTTTGATTATGGGCCCAGTTTTCAAGTTGGTCCAAATCGGGGTCCAAAATTAAACTTTATTTGATTTCAACAAAAATTGAATATATGGGGTTCTTTGATATGCTGAATCTAACCATGTATTTAGATTTTTGATTATGGGCCCAGTTTTCAAGTTGGTCCAAATCGGGGTCCAAAATTTAACTTTGTTTGATTTCAACAAAAATTGAATATATGGGGTTCTTTCATATGCTGAATATAACCGTGTATTAAGTTTTTGGATTTTGGGCCCCGTTTTTAAATTGGTCCACATTGAGGTCCAAAGGGTCCAAAATTTAACTTTGTTTGATTTCATCAAAAATTGAATTATTGGGGTTCTTTGATATGCCGAATCTAACCGTGTATTTAGATTCTTAATTTTTGGTTCCGTTTTCAAATTGGTCTACATAAAGGTCCAAAGGGTCCAAAATTAAACTTAGTTTGATTTTAACAAAAATTGAATTTTTAGGGTTCTTTGATATGCTGAATCTAAACATGTGTTTAGATTTTTGATTATGGGCCCAGTTTTCAAGTTGGTCCAAATCGGGGTCCAAAATTAAACTTTATTTGATTTCAACAAAAATTGAATATATGGGGTTCTTTGATATGCTGAATCTAACCATGTATTTAGATTTTTGATTTTTGGGCCCCGTTATCAACTTTGTCCACATTGAGATCAAAAGGGTCCAAAATTAAACTTTGTTTGATTTCATCAAAAATTGAATTCTTGGGGTTCTTTGATATGCTGAATCTAACCATGTATTTAGATTTTGGATATTGGACCATAATAGGTGAATGTCCAATTTAAAATTTTAAGTTCTTAGACCACATTCATTCTGTGTCAGAAACCTATGCTGTGTCAAATATTTAATCACAATCCAAATTCAGAGCTGTATCAAGCTTGAATGTTGTGTCCATACTTGCCCCAACTGTTCAGGGTTCGACCTCTGCGGTCGTATCAAGCTGCGCCCTGCGGAGCATTTTATTAGACACTATATATATATATAGATTAACACCCAAAATATCTCATTTTATGAAAATTACATTGTTGATTTTGTATTTTTGAAGATCCTATATACTTTTCTAATGTAAATATGATATTGAAAGCAACACATCCTCTTTGTAAGAGTGAAACCAAACTACAAAAACATTACAAAAAAAAACACATCAATAAATTCAAAAGATAAATTCAGTCATTTTGAGTGAAATAGTTAGATCTATCAAAAAAAGATAATTTATTAAAAATTAAAATGAATATGAGTAACAAAAGGTCCTTAGATTTTCCATACATAATTAGTATTTCTTGTTTATGCTAAAACTTTTCAGGGGTTTATAGAGGAACCAGATAGAGTGTGGACAGAGGAAGAATTGCCACCTATATCTGATGGATATCCAATCAGTCAAATCAAAGACACTGTACATAGTTTACAAATGGTAATTATTTCAACTGCTCTAACTAAATATTATATCAGTCTTTCATAATGAATAATTTAAGAAAAAAACTGTGCTTGTAACATATGCAAAAAATAGTCCAATCTGTTCTGTTGCTCTGATGCATTCAAATAAAAATTCATACACATGAAATTTCTTAATCACACAATTTATTATTAAGCTGAATCTTTAAGGCCCAAAACATAAATTATTAGCTTTGAAGGCACTGCCAAGTGTTCATAATGCATGTCCAAAAATGACCAAAAAAATAGATTAAATTGATAAAATCTTGAAATTCTTTGTTACAGATTTTCATATTATTCATATATTACAAATATTGGTCATGGACTTAATTTTATGAATGATTTGATTCTTTTTTCTTTCAATGTCCAATGGGATTAAGCACAATATTGACATTTTTAGGATAAATTGAATAAGACGCCCCAAAAAAAATTATGACTATCAAATGATCAAGATAAAGATAAGAAGCCTTCCTGTATCATTGCAAGTTTTAAAATTTCCTTGAGCAGGAAATAAATATTTATGCATAATATGTTAATATATATGATTAAAGATTTATAAAAAAAAAATATAACAGAATTCACCGCATCAGTACAACCACATCAATCACCAACACCTGACCCCTAAAAACAGACATACATACAAACAAAGATAACAACAACATGTGGTCAAGATAATCTGACTTAGTACAGACACAAAATCTGGTGTAGTTAAACTAGTCAAGTGATCACAAAACCCTCCCTCTGCCAATCTAGAAACAAATGATTTAAAACTAAAACAAACAATGATAATCCGGCAGTTAGGTCTAAGATAAATTTTAATTACCAGATCTTTGGAAAATAAATTCTTAAAAGCACTTATATTATTAACTTTCATGTATACAGTAGCAGGATTTTTACAGCTATTGTTTGAGATTAAGGTAAGAATTGTAAGATGAGATTATTAAAGGTAAGAATTGTTAGAAAATTGTTCATTTCTTTGTTAAAATATTTTATAATAATTCAGACAGTTCAAATCTATCATATTTTCTACAATTGTTAAATTCAGATAGCTAAGAATTTACGGAAGGCCAGATTTGATGAAGGAGCCTTAAGATTGGACCAAGTGAAGTTACAGTTTACATTAGATAAAGATACAGGAATGCCTAATGGATACAGTGTGTATAAACAAAAAGATAGTAATAGGTAATTATATGGCACAATATATCTATGAATGGAAGTTATACATACTAGTAAATAAATTATAGATACAGAAAACATAAAGATTAATGTCCCAAATTAATTTTGTTTTGAGTGCATATTTAGTTTTAATTTTTCAGGAAATTCCGTTTCAGAATCAAAAAGATTGTTGGAATTTTATTGTTTGTACACTAAATTGAAAAAATCAATATGTCATTGGTTGGAAATTCATTGTTTAGGATGCTGTCAACCAATCACAATGGACAAATAGACTGATAAAGCTACTTTATTCCAGGTTGGTAGAGGAATTTATGTTGCTTGCTAATATGGCAGTTGCTCACAAGATAAAGAAAGATTTTCCGGATAAAGCATTCTTAAGACGACATCCCCCACCACAATCCAAAATGGTGGATGATTTGGTAAGAGAAGCTGTAAAAGTTTTACAAAAATTTATAATTTTGAGTATGAGAGATTTTTTTGTGATAAAATGTTGATAAAGCAATGACAAACTATATACATAGGTAGTGTGAAAGTATCTCAAACATGCTCTTTTGAACAGATGATTTAAAATTTGATATATGTTTTTATTTCCTTATTATACGACCGCAAAAAATTTTTTGTGGTTGTATATTGATATGACGTTGGCGACGTCGTCGTCGTCCGAAGACACATTGGTTTGCACTCTAACTTTAGTTTAAGTGAATGGATCTCTATGAAATTTTATCACAAGGTTCAATACCACAAAAGGAAGGTTGGGATTGATTTTGGGGGTTATGGTACCAACAGTTAAGGAATAAGGGGCTAAAAAAGGGCCAAAAACAAGCATTTTTGTAATTTCAAGACACAACTTGTGTGTTAGTGTATGGATCTCTCTGACATTGTACCACAAGGTTCCATATCACAAAGGGAATGCTGGGATTGATTTTGGGGGTAATTGCCTCAAAATTTTAGGAATAAGGGGCAAAAAATAAGCATTTTTCTAGTTTCATGACAATAACTTGTGTGTGAGTGTATGGATCTCTCTGAAATTGTACTACAAGGTTCCATATCACAAAGGGAAAGCTGGAATTGAGTTTGAGGGTAATTGCCCAAATCGTTTAGGAATAAGGGGCCAAAAAGGGGCAAAAAAACAAGCATTTTTCTAGTCTCAGGACAATAACTAGTGTGTAAGTGTATGGATCTTTATGACATTGTACAACAAGGTTCCATATCACAAAGGGAAAGCTGTGTTTGAGTTTGGGGGTAATTGCCCTAAACGTTTAGGAATTTGGGGCCAAAAAGGGGCAAAAAAACAAGCATTTTTCTAGTTTCCAGACAATAACTTGTTTTCAAGTGTAAGGATCTCTCTGAAATTGTACTGCAAGGCACCATACATTGTAACACAAATGGAAGGCTTGGATTGAGTTTGGGGGTGATGAATCATAAGGGGGTTCAAAAAATTTGAGGGGGGATTTTTTCCCCTTATTTTCTTTAAAATTTTCCATTTTAAATTGGTTATTTCTGATTTATATATAAAAGCAAATAATAATGATATGGTTTGAATATGTAAATTAAAATTTTTGAAGTTCTTAGACCACATTCATTCTGTGTCAGAAACCTATGCTGTGTCAAATATTTAATCACAATCCAAATTCAGTGCTGTATCCAGCTTTAATGTTGTGTCCATACTTGCCCCAACTGTTCAGGGTTCGACCTCTGCGGTCGTATCAAGCTGCGCCCAGCGGAGCATTTTATTATTAAATTGAATTGTGTATTATCATATTCATGTGTATTTTGAAAATTATCAAGTATTTTTAATATCTGTATTATGTATTATTTTTTAGGTTGAACTGTGCAATAATTTAGGATTCCCTATTGATCCTTCGTCAGCAGGTACACTACAGGTAATTGTTATATTTATATAGTGATACAGGTTATCAAAGGTAAAGTACTTTTATCAGTCAGATATCAAATGTGAGTTCATGTTTGTTTCTGATCTATAAATGTCAGAAGAGTTATTTCCCAATATGTTGGATCAAAGTATGACCAACAAGTCTATGGAATCATTCAATTGATGAATGTGTGTTTTCTTACACTATTAATAAGCTATCAGTGCATGGAAATTTGCTCATCCTTATAAATGACAGATTGCTAAAGTTTAAAATATATATGTATTTCTTGACAAAGAATGGACATGATCCTTACTGATAGAAACAACCCAGTCATTAAAATATAAAAAAAATTAGATAAAATTCAGCATAGACATCTGAAGCCAAAATAATCGTAAGCTTGGCTAAAAATGAGGAATACACTTGTGCTCCTAAAGGGTAGACTAGATCTTGCTTCAAAAGTGGCATTCAACATTTGAAAAACTACGATATGTTGAATTTAAAGATAATTTATGAATGAGAAAAGGAAAAAGAATCAGTTAATTATTTTTTTGTTGTGCTAGTCAGTGTTGAGTTTCTGTCTCATTGACACGTATCCAAATCTCCTTTTATTCATATATACTTATGTTATTATTTTAGATGTTGTGATTCAGCTATAACAGTTTTGATTGTGGTTTGATTTCTGAATGCAAAACAAACTTTAGAAACCTATCTGTTGAGGAAGACTGTGTGTTACCTCTAAATGTCTCTTTAGAAACCTATCTGTTGAGGAAGACTGTGTTACCTCTAAATGTCTCTTGGTTATTTGTGTTTTGGTTATATTGTCATCAATTTGTACATTGCAACTTTTTTATACGCCCGTTTACATGTATGTATCTTTAATACCAGGAAGAATAGTTATATGTTTTCACAGTATTTCTGATTTTTGTAGAGATCTTTGTGGAGATATGCTGATGATGATAACATGTCTGTTGCCAGGATGCAGGTGCTTGTCAGTATGTGTTCTAAACCAATGCAGGTAATTAAACCTAGTCCTAATCAGATTTTATTTGTATACTTTGTTTTGAAAATGAATAATGCAGGTTTTCATTCTAAAAATACATGTTACATATGCTGGTGGATGTAACGTAAAGCTACCATCAATGGAATAATCATACATGCCTTACATGTAAGTTGCAAAACAAGTACCAGTGATTTTAGTTCCACGTTTTTATTGGTATGACGTCGTCTTCTTCGTCCGAAAACACATTGGTTTTCGCACAATAACTTTAGTTTAAGTGAATGGATCTCTATGAAATTTTATCGTCAGGTTCAATACCACAAAAGGAAGGTTGGGATTGATTTTGGGGGTTATGGTTCCAACAGTTGAGGAATTAGGGGCCAAAAAGGGGCCAAAAATAAGCATTTTTGTAACTTCCAGACAATAACTTGTGTGTTAGTGTATGGATCTCTCTGACATTGTACCACAAGTATCCATATCACAAAGGGAATGCTAGGATTGATTTTGGGGGTAATTGCCTCAAAATTTTAGGAATTAGGAGCCAAAAAAGGGGCAAAAAATAAGCATTTTTCTAGTTTCATGACAATAACTTGTGTGTCAGTGTATGGATCTTTCTGAAATTGTACTACAAGGTTCCATATCACAAAGGGAAAGCTGGAAATGAGTTTGGGTGTAATTGCCCAAAACATTTAGGAAAAAGGGGCCAAAAATAAGCATTTTTTTAGTCCAGACAATAACTTGTGTTCAAGTGTATGGATCTGTCTGAAATTGTACTGCGAGGTAACAAACCACAAAGGGAAGGCATGGATTGATTTTGGGGGTAATTTGCCTCAAAATTTTAGGAGTTAGGGGCCAAAAAGGGGAAAAAAACAAGCATTTTTCTAGTTTCAGGACAATAACTTGTGTGTAAGTGTAAAGATCTTTATGAAATTGTACTACAAGGTTCCATATCACAAAGAGAAAGTTGGGTTTGAGTTTGGGGGTAATTGCCCTAAATGTTTAGGAATTTGGGGCCAAAAATGGGCCAAAAAACAAGCATTTTTCTAGTTTCCAGACAACTTGTGTTCAAGTGTATGGATCTCTCTGAAATTGTACTGCAAGGTACCATACCACAAAGGGAAGGCTGGGATTGAGTTTGGGGGTGATGAATCATAAGGGGGTTCTAAAAAATTGGGGGGGGGGGTCCTTTTTTTTTCTCCCTTTTTCCTTTTTTTTTTCTTTAAAATTTTCTGTTTTTAGTTGGTTATTTCTGATTTATATATAAAAGCAAATAATAATGATATGGTTTGAATAGGTAGATTAAAAATTTCTAAGTTCTTAGACCACAGTCATTCTGTGTCAGAAACCTATGCTGTGTCAAATATTTAATCACAATCCAAATTAAGAGCTGTATCAAGCTTGAATGTTGTGTCCATACTTACCCCAACTGTTCAGGGTTCGACCTCTGTGTTCATATCAAGCTGCGCCCAGCAGAGCATTTTATTGCAGATTAAAATGTGGAATCTTTTGTTTTCTTGTTGATCGCTACATTTTCAGAATGCAAAGTATTTGTGTACAGAGTGTATATAATGAAGAAATGTATTATCACTATGCCTTGATTTATTTCTCTGTTTTCAGAAAGTATTTCTGAACATGATGTACTGATTATGAAAAATAGTATCTTCATAATGCATTGATTCATTTCTTTTTTCAGAATGCTAAGTATTTCTGTACTGGATGTATTGATGATGAAGAACTTTATCGTCACTATGCACTGAATGTCCCCCTATATACACATTTCACTAGTCCAATTAGACGATATGCTGATGTAATGGTCCACAGGAATTTAGCTGCTGCTTTAGGTGAGTTATATAAGTTAGTAAGACATTCAAAAAAAACATCTGCTAAATTGTCCCATCTGTATTCTTTAATCCCATTTAAAAAAATTTTGGTAGATTGGTTTCCATCTGTCCTTAATCTTACAACTCAGGTTCAAAGATTGCTTTGGTGTCTGCTAGAAACTCTTGAAATAACATTTACTACTTTTATTCCTGAACCTCCCTTTGCTATGGAGAAGTTGGGTATGTGCACATACGAACAGGAAGTAAAATGGCCATTTCACTATGAACGAAAATTAGCTTACACATTGCTTTTTTAACCAATTGATACGAAACACAGTGAAAAAAGGAACTTCAGGCCTGAAAACATGTAAAATAAAAATAGCTTACACATTGCACAACAATAACCCTTTAGCACCTGCAGTGAAGCACAGATCGAAAGCCAAACTAAAGGCACTTATCTAAAGTCCAAAGACGTTAATAGTTATATTGAAGGCACTTTATATATTAATTTCAATAATTTATTTGTCAATTAAGGACAGGCAGAATAATGATATATAATTTAAAGTGAACTGTTATTCCTTATATATATATAATTACAGACAATGAACATCTTTAGATACTACATAATTCATATTTTGTTTTAAAATGATACGTTATTGCTGTGTACATTTTCTTTGAAATGTTAAGACAATTGATGGTGGTCACCAGCTTTGTTTTGCTGTCTTAATCATAAATGTAAGAGTGATGAATATAAAAAAAACAAGAACTACAATTTTGCAGAATCTAAAGTGAACACTAAAATCATAACGATAAATGTAAGAAGATTTGGTATGATTGGCCATGAGACAACTCTTCACTAGTTCTACACAAGTTTGAATGATTTGTCATTGTGACATGCCATACCAAAAGTCTACATTCAGCTGCTGTAACTTATTTTAGCAGATACTTATTTTTTGCGTTTCACTTAGTCAATTTTCTTCTTGCTAGTGAAAATTGCGAAAATAAATCACTAGCAAAAATAAGTTGGATTACATTATGAGTTAAGGTTCATTGATACATTTGTTATGAAGGCATATAAAGGATTCTATGGTAAAAATAAGGATAAAGAGATTAATAAACATCAAATTGCAGATCAGTCCTAATACAATCTCTCAACTTAAATTAATTGCTTATGGTATGCCTTTGGCTGAAATGGGATTCCCAAGATTGTATCAAAACTGATGCTGAAAAGGATGTGTAACTATCTATGTCAATTCACATTCTAGCTCATTATTTCCTTTTCAGGTTACTCTGATCTGAGTGAAAAGTCTATGGTTGCCATACAGAGCATTGCTGAGAACTGTAACGACAGAAAGACTAACAGTAAACGAGCATCAGAACTTAGTTCAGAACTGTTCTTTGCTGTCTTCGTCAAAGTGAGTAGACTACAAGAAAGTACTATTAAATCACAAGGAAACTTTGAATACCTTTACTTGGTATTTATTCTTAATCTATTTCTTAATATAAAAATAAGGAGATGTGGTATGATTATTAATGAGACAACTATCCACCAGAGTTCAAATAACAAAGATATAAGGAAACTGATATAATTTTTGGAAGCTAAAATTGGAAGAGGATTTAAGGGGGGGAGGGGGTCCCCATAGACACAAACTCTTGTTGTTAATATCTTCAATAAATATGTATTTTAATGCAGACTGCTGGTCCGTTTGAAGAAACAGGCATGGTGATGGGTGTATTAGACAAGGCCTTTGATGTCTTCATACTGAAGTTTGGTGTGACAAAGAGGGTGTACTGTGATGTTAGTATTTATTAATTATATTTTACTTATTACTTTATACAAAAGTGTCCAGTTGTGCATCATTTGCCAAATGTATGTTGAAAAATGTCTAACACTTATTCAGTATGTTCTATAAGATCCCAGAATATTTGGGATTCTAGATAGTTTTTAATTTGTCCATCTGTCCCTCAACAAGTTTGTCTCAGCACAAATTAGCCTATACTATAAGGTGAATCAGTATTTTAGTATCATAGGAATATATATCACATTTTTAAGAAAATTTTAAAAAATTTTAGGTGTAAAAACATGTCTTAATACCAAACAAATATCTAAATTTTAAGTATAAGGTGTTGATTTGATTTTTTTTTTTTGATTTTTGGTGTTTTAACGCCACTTTTAAGCACCGCTTTTGGGCTATTTCGTGGAGGCCAGTTTTTATTGGTGGAGGAAGCCGGAGCGCCCGGAGAAAACCTTGACCTTCGATAGGAAAACTGACAATCCTAGTCAATTAAGATTGGAGTCGAGTGCACCCGCACGAGCGGGGTTCGAACTCACAACCTCAGTGTTGACTGGCTAGTGATTACAGTAGTAACTACTTAGACCACTCGGCCACCGAGGCCCCTATAAGGTGTTGAAGGTGCAAACTTTCTTGTACTTGATTGATCTGAAGTTAGCTTTGGTGAGTTCTAAAATTCTCCTTCAATATTTATCGCATGCAAGTTTTCTACTGTTTCGATTGACTTGACTAAAGAATGTAATACAAGGGCAGATCATCATATTCGTTTAAGGAATGACTAATATTTTTTCTGTCTATGAAGAAATAACATAAAAAATGTGGTGCACACTGAATAACCCGCTTAGAGCGTTATTTAAAAGTATGCACCACATTTTTGAGGTTATTCTGAATAGACAGAAAGAATATTACAGTCATTCCTTATAATTTAATTCTAAATTCTATTTTTGAGAGTAAATCATGATAAGACATTGATGATGTCATGGTCACATGACAAAATTATGTCTATGAGCTGATAGACAAAAAACTTTCAGCCAATCAGAAGACGTGTTACATCCAAAATTAAATTATATTTATATAAATTCTATGAAATAATTATGTTATCATTTTCATTTCATTATGAATATGAAGGACAGCTGTACTGTTAAAACGAATAAATTTAAATCAATGCTGTGGGGCCTATTTCATAATGATTTTAGTTCACTATATAATTTAATCAACACTTTATAAATACGGTGTGTAGGAAACACTTTTCTGGATTTGCCTGCATTGAATTTGAAAGCCAGGGCTGTATAACATGTAAAAACCTTAGGAGCTATATGATCAAAAGGGCCCTAAAGAGAATGAACAAATTCATCTATTAAAGATAAACTTTTCCTGAGGGAGTTGGAACAATAGTTTCTTAATTTATCAACAGGGGATTATAAATCATGTCTGCACCATAGCACTGACTACTGAACTGATGATACTTTCTGGGACTTATATTACACCACCCAGTGCTAGTAAATGTAAATTACACTTAATAGATTTTATGCGTAATAAAGAGGGCATAAATCTGTTCTCATTGATGTTTTTCATGCACACATTGTCTGTTACCTTGCATGTCTGAGATTGAAATATTTAATGAATTAAAGTTTGGCAATGATTTATTTTAGATGTTATAATGCATATTGTTTTGTAGAAACTAGCTATTAAAGATAAATTGCATACAAAAGAACAGAAAAATCCAATATTAACGTTATACTGGGAACCAACAGAAGAAAATGGTACCGGAGCAGTACAGAAAATATCTATATTTACTATAGTTACCTGTGTATTAAAACCAGGGGAATTACCTCTACAGTGGATGGTAAGTTAAATCAACACATAAAATAAAAATTTCCCATATGTTACAACCAAGAGCATTTTATGTTTGCAATGTACAAGAAGATATATAAGAACCTGTTTATACAGTCTACAAGAGAGAGGTGAAAGATACCAAAGGGAGAGTCAAACTCATAAGTCAAAAATAAACTGACAATGCCATGGCAAAAAACGAAAAAATGACAAAAAGACAAACAACAATACACTAACACAAAACAGAAGACTTAAGACTGAGCAACACAAACCCCACCAAAAACCAGGGGATGATCTCAGGTGCACCAGAAAGGTAAGCTAATCCTGCTTCATATGTGACAACCGTCATTTTGCAATTTATCATTATATTACAACCAGGTAAATTACCTGTACAGTGTATGGTAAGATATATAGCATTCTATATGCACAGTCTACAGTTAACCTTTGTATTGCAACCAGCACATGTACAGTGCTTCAACAGTGTACAGTCAGATATAAATATCTACATGGGAGCTACCTTTACAATGAATTCTTAATGAAAATGAAAATAATACTTCATAATTTATAATTTCTTTGCGTCTGAAGCACTTTTCTGGATTAATCTTCATCAGGAATGTTCTTACCCAAAATGATTAAAAGCCAAGGATGTATAAATTACCTTATCAAGTGAAGAGCTATATGATCAAAAGGTGTTAAAAAGAATCACCAAATCTATCTTGGGTCAGCTTTGCCTTTAACCCTATACTAAAATCCAGATTTACTGTATATAACAACCAAAGAAGCTACCGTCAAAGTGCATGATGAGTTCTCATGGAAGTAAAGAGATATGGTGTAATAATTCATAAAATGAAATCTGTACACAAATGCACCTGACAAACTTAGAATAAAAGAACTGCTTTTATTGTTATTCTTCATCACAAAGTAACAGTGTGCCTTTAAACAGTGAAAGTATGCCAACATCTAAAAACATGTTCAGTCAGATATAAATCCACATATATAAATAGGTTCATGACAACACCCCTTAGACCCACTGAGTAAGGTTCACTCATATTTTACAATTCAATGTGCAGAAGAAACCCAATAATCTATACTTATTTCATTAGTTTCTTTGAAATGCTGTTATATACCAGTAAAAGAAATACCAATATTTCATACAGTGGATTCATTATTATTTGTTGGATCCCAATTTTCGTGGATTTTGTGGTTACCCTGGAACCACAAATTCCAATGTCCCAAAGAATTACAAGTTTTCTATAGGAAATAATGCAGACTTTGGAAAGACCACAACATCAATTATCCACGAAAATGCAAGTTTTCCTCAATCCACGTAAATTGGTACCCACGAAAATAAATGAATCCACAGTATGTGTAATAGATTCTGTTTTTTTCATACCTCTGATGTAATACAAACTAGAGTGTTGCCCAGACATTGTCAGTGAAGTTGCATCACAATTACTGCACATTCTTGTTAACTGTTATTTCATTAGCATAAAAGAATGCATTGTTTTTTTTTTGTATTTTCAGGCCATCATAAAACCACCTGCAGTCTGAAAGTATAAAACTGAAAGTTCAAAAATGGTATAACTGTTGAAGGAATAGCAGAGCATGAGAAAACTGGCAATGGAAGAAATGAAGATGTGTACTAAACATAGAAATATTACATATCCAAAAAAAGAATAGAAATATCATAAACAGTGCTTATTTTATGCTCTTAACTTCATGATAGATTTGAAAAAAATGCTGTTTTACTTTGAAATATCTTTATTTGTGCAAGTTTTCAAGTGACATGTGAAATAAAGTTGGAATAAAAAATGTAATGTAGATTTGGAAAAGATCTTTTCAATGATCAGTATTGAAACAAATACACTATTGACTTTTATAGCTCTGACCTGGTGCTAATTGCTGATTCGTAGTTTTTTTTTATCATTGACCTCAAACTAAAATTCATTTAAGGTATTTAAAACACTTAATTTTTCATAATTTCTTTTTCATTGTAAAGTTAAATGTATATAAATTAAAAATTGAGGAAAATTCTAGTTCATCTTACTCACTTTTTGCAATTTTTGTATAGCTTAGGAAAATCATCATTTGGTGAATTAAAACTTTTATACAGAAAACATAGGGAGGGATACAAGTTATTTTTGTTTATTTGACAAAATTACCTGTATTTTATAATGGTTGATTTTGATCATTATCTCCCCTTAAATTAAACAGTAATATATATAGCAAAGAATAAAATCATCTGGCAAAACTACAGATAATTTGATATTTCTATAAATCTATACATGTATTTCAAATTTTTGAAAAGGATTTGTGTAAGAATATGAAGTGTGATGTTTAAGAAATTATATTTTCAAGATAGTATCAACAAGTTCTAAATTGAACTTTATTGTAAGTGAATTAGAAAAAATGATAAATATATAATTTGAATATCCAAAGCTGAAATATACAATTTGTCAGCTCCCATTGATTCCCATAGGTATCTAGGTCACCATTGTTTATTAACCTAATTATATGGAATTAATTGTACTTTAAAAGTTTTGTGTCTCTTTTCCAAAAATTGTCTTACGATTGAAATTGATCGCAAGTTATATTGAAATGTTCAAGTTTTACAAGTATTTTTATTCAATTTATCTCAGACTTTTTTGTGAAAAGAGTGGCTAAATGAGAAGAATTGATAACATAACTGATAATTTTGTATTGATAGCATTGACAGGTTGAGCTATTGTTAAAGATTGGAATTTGTTTAGATTTTAATGTAACTAAATGAATTAATGTCAAATAGATGATGCAATTAAATTATTAAACCTATACCATATTTCTGTGTTGATATGTGGCCTATAAAAAAGACTGGTTTTGAAAGGTTGATTTTCCTACAAAGAAATACATTTAAAAAATTGGAAAGTGCACAACTAGATTTGATATAAAGACTCCACAAAATTAAAAACATACAAAAAAGTAAAATAACAAAATACTGAACTCTGAGGAAAATTTAAAACAGACAGTCCATAACTAAATAGCAAAATCAAAAGCTCAAACACATCAAAGGAATGGACAACAACTGTCATATTCCTGACTTGGTACAGGCATTTTCTTATTTAGAAAATAGTGGATTAAACCTCTCACTTGTATGACAGTCACATAAATTTTTTTGTTATATTGTGTGAACAAAACAAACAGACATAATAAGAAAAATGTCAAAAATAGTGTATAGTAGTCAACATTGTGTTATAATCTTAATCACTATAAAACATACAAATATATAAACAAAGAAAAACAAAAGGGCATATAGACAAAGCACACCAGCAAAAACGAAAGACAAAAACACAAAAATTTCCAATAGCACAATAACACAATGACTTGATGTATAAGTACGAAACCACATCAAATGGACATCAACAACAAGAGACTAAACAGTAAAAGTAATAATTTACACAGACAAATAAAAGAACTCTATAGCATGTCATTGCGATGATAGACAATGTCAGTACCTAGAATCGATACTTCAAGACCATCGTGTATTATTTGTGAAGTTGATACTGAATATTTATCAAGGAGGTTTTGGTATCTTTGGATGAACTTTTTTTCGAAAAAGGACGAGACATTCTTTGAAATAACCCAGGTTCATCAACTTTCTGCTCAGACTTGGGTGACATAAACCAACTTACATGGGTGAAGTATGTCGTATCTATTGGATGCTGTTTTGCCCCTTTAGTTCCAAAAATAGAAATGAATGGACATTCAATTGAAATGACCCAATAACACCCCTCAGATGTTTTCGTTAGATATCAGTTAACATATTTTTGAATTGTGCTTTACCAGCTGCTTGCATTAGTGCTTTGATATGTTACTTTTCAAACAAAAACTGCCAAAATCGCCTTATTTTCAGAGGTTGTCAATAATATTTAAATATGAGCTAATGCCTAACCCAAAAAGAAATTTTGCAACAAGATATCTTATAAAAATATGGATAGTGGGTAAAATATCTGAATATGAGAGGTAATGGCTGATATTATATTTTGCAAAATAAAATTGAGAATGGAAATGGGGAATGTGTCAAAGAGACAACCCGACCATAGAGCAGACAACAGCTGAAGGCCACCAATAGGTCTTCAATGCAGCGAGAAACTCCCGCACCCGGAGGCGTCCTTCAGCTGGCCCCTAAACAAATATGTATACTATTTCAGTGATAATGGACGTCATACTAAACTCCAAATTTTACAGGAAACTGAAATTAAAAATGATACAAGACTAACAAAGGCCAGAGACTCCTGACTTGGGACTGGCGCAAAAATGCGGCGGGGTTAAACATGTTTTTTTAAATCTCAACCCTCCCCCTATACCTCTAGCCAATGTAGAAAAAACAAACGCACAACAGTACGCACAGTAAAACTCAGTATAAGAAAAGTCCGATGTCAGAAAAGGAAACAAAAGAAAATAAACAAAATGACAATAATACATAAATAACAACACACTACTAGCAGTTAGTGACATGCCAGCTCCAGACTTCAATTATACTGATTGAAAGATTATGTCTTCATCATATGAATATCAGGCACAATCCCTCCTGTTAGGGGTTTAGTATCATACCATCATAAAATATATGAGAAGAACATAACCCGTGTCATGCCAACAACTGGTTTTAGAATAAATGTGTTATATGTGAGTTGGCTTTTTTCAGTAAAGTCTGTGAATTTTAACTTGTTTAGGGCATGCATCACAACTGACATTTCTGTACTAAGAAAATGTCCAGATAAAAGTTTCTTTTAATTTTCCATTTAAACTAACAAAGTTTTGAAAGGATAAAAGAATTTAAACTTTTTTTTTGGCAATTTCATGGACAAATATGGCTCTCATCATACCTCCTCCTTTGAAAAACTAGGTTTTTTTTCAAAGCTTCTCTTGACGTACCCTGTCACTGACTACCCAGATAATAATCAGCTGATTAAATTTATTGACATATACATTTTGTTAAGTTAACACTAGAATAACAATACTAGAAAATTATTCATTGATCATGATTCTTTTGATTTATTATCTTATATACATTGGTGTTTACTCTCTTAGTATATTCATTCACAAAAATTATGTAGACATCTATATTTTTTGTTTTCACTAGTCTTATTGCTATAGCATTCAATCTTACAAAGATGAACATATATATTTAGGGGCAAAGTTGCTACATAGCCTAGGACTTAAGATTTATGACTGATTTAACAGATCTGGTGGCGTGCGCTAACTTAATATTTGTGACAACTGAGATATATACACCATATACAGGAGCTGCTGGAATGTTGCTTCACATAAATGGAAAGCTTATCATTCACTAGATTGTGTTAGTTGATATGAATCAGACTAATCTTATTGTTTATTGCTTAACGTCCAGTGGCAAATATTTCAAGCATGTTCAGGACGACAAATTAATCTGTATCTGTGTTATACTTTATTTCAAGTTGGATGGGATGGAAGAGTTCAACAAAGTCACTCGTTCTTATGTTGTACTGTTACACCACTGTCCCAGGTTAGGGGGAGGGTTGGGATCCCGCTTACATGTTTAACCCCTCCACATTCTGTATGTATGTGCCTGTCCCAAGTCAGGAGCCTGTAATTCAGTGGTTGTCGTTTGTTTATGTGTTACATTTTTCTTTTTCGTTCATTTTTTGTACATAAATTAGGCCGTTAGTTTTCTCGTTTGAATTGTTTTACATTGTCATTTCGGGGCCTTTTATAGCTGACTGTGCGGTATGGGCTTTGCTCATTGTTGAAGGCCATACGGTGACCTATAGTTGTTAAGTTCTGTGTCATTTGGTCTTTTGTGGAGAGTTGTCTCATTGGCAATCATACCACATCTTCTTTTTTATATATACTAGTAGACACTCTACAGACAAAGTACATAAACAAAAATGAAAGACAAGAATACAAAATTGATAATATCACAATGTCGGGATGTATAAGTATCGAGTCACGAGAAACATGTTGTATATGTAAATGTATTATGCTAATTATATATTAAGTAGTTGTTATATGCAACTATACTTAGGGAGGATCGATAAATGTTTTAAAAAATCTTTATTACAATCATGTACACATGTATGATATTTCAATTTATATTCAGTATTTAAACAGACCTTTCTTTAGCCTTAAGAAAATCTATAAAGTATTAAAATCCGTTATCATACATGTTCTTTTAAAACATCAATCGGATCGATTAGTATAGATTTTCGGAAAACTTATTTTGACCGCAATCCGTGTCGGGAATTTCTATCTGTTAGGAATTTCCATTATATAACAAGCATAGTTTCAATGTATATGTGCTAGTTTTTATTTTCTAGTTAAGAAATGCAGTTGTAAGTATAATTATTAAAGTTTAGTTACGTCGAAAGTTCTTGGGACAATTTTGACACTCACTCATAAAAAATATCTTGTGGTTGTGCATTTACATTATCAACGTATTTAACACAATTCTTAATTACATAAATTACAGTTTAAACCGTAATATATATAAAGTCGTGTACAGTCAGCACAGCACATAAACCCCAGATGGGGTTTTGAAGAAATCGATTCGGGTTTTTTGAGTGCAGACCACGCTTTAAAAATAAGATCAAATACGTTCAACACATTTTTTACAGCACTGGGTCGTTACCACCGCTGGTTGACTATCAGCCCCCAGAGGATATTATCGGCTCAGCAGTCAGTAATTCGGTACTGACATGATTATAACAGACCTTTCTAACGTTATCGGTTTATTAATTGTGAAATGAGAAATATTAGTAAACTAAGGTTTCAACACCCTCATGTAAAGTTGATCTTTGATGGATTTCCTTTTTTAGGTACCATTTTGGTTATATAGCTCTTTGACTGGTTGGATCTTATAAATCCTTTGCTTTCACATATTTGTCTTCATATCAGAAAAGCTCTTCAGAGCGTGACATTTTTAAAGTGTTAGTTTCATATTTTTACAGGACTGGATCTGAGAAATAAAAAACTAACAAGCTCCCTTACTGAAAAATCAGCCTTCTGGCGAACTGTTGCGGCAGATTTGCGGCAAACACAGCGGTAAGGTTGTTGCAAATAGTTTGCGGCAACTTCACCGCGACTTTTTACCATGCAAATGAAATTTGCGGCAAGCCTTATATAGTTTGTAGCAAACTTCTGGCGACTATTTGTGGTGAACCTCTGGCGAACTTTAATAGCCTTATATAGTTTGTGGTGAACTTCTGGCAAATCAAATATGCTAAATAAATGATGCCTTGTGGCAACCTTTCTGTTAATTCTTTTTCAAAACTGTACGTCTCATTCAAAACATGCACATAGGGATCAAAATTTAAATTGTATTAATTATTATGACCATTAATTGTTATCTACTTGGTTATCAAAATTTTATTTTTAAAGAAATGTGAAAGAGAGAAATATAAATTGTGACCACAAAAACAACAGAAAAACTAAATACATATATTTATAGAGGTACATAAAATTGAGAAGCGAAATGGGGAATGTGTCAAAGAGAAACAACCCGACCAAAGAGTAAAAAACAACCGAAAGACACCAATGGGTGTATATAAATCTATTAATTTACTCACATGTCAGTGCAGAATTCAGAATGAGCTGATTAATTTCTTAACAGATTCATATGTATGAAAAAATCAAGAACAAATCTGTTTTTATAATGGTCAATTATAAAGAAACTTGGATTTAGGCATGACAACATTTATACTATATATATAAATATATACAAATTAAGCATAACATTATCTAAAATATTAATCAAATGTGGTTTAACAATAACGTATTACAATTTTTGAACATATGTATGGCATG